ATTGAGTTGACTAAAATCCAGTTACATTAAAGTTTTGTAAGGTCAAAATTTAATGTACTGATGTTAAACTAAAACTTATTTCTCTAAGCTCATACAATAAGTCTATCTTAAAATGGTTTTTGTTTTGCCAAGATAACTGTCAGGAATTTTTGAGGCTACAGGTTAATCCACAAATTTGTCAAGACCACAAGAGTTTATTAAACACAGAGAGGTAAGAGGCAGCTGAGCACAGGGAGTGCTGCTGCACTGATATGAGGGTTGAGACAGATTTACCTATGTAAACAAAGTGAAAAAAAAAAAGCCAGGTGCACCTTCCAGATAGGATAAAAATAAAGCTCGAAAAGGAGCACTAACTGAACGTCAAGACCTCCAGTTTTTATTGGAGTCAACAGGGTGGAGATGTTAGTCCTACTCCTTCCACATGGCAGGCAGAGGGAATTTTTGGCCTGAGGTGGCCAAATTGGACCTGTTATTTTAGGGTGGCTCCATTGACTATAGTTGAGGAGATCCTGCTAAATGTCATAGCCATCTGTTCATGTCAACAATCTGGGATTCGACCCTTATCAACATCTGAGCCATGATTCTTGGTCATTAGGTTTCCTAACTCCATGCTCGTCCCATAAATATTTACCTGTGTTCTCTGGTGATTTTTGTCGGGGTTTTAACTACTAAAGTACTGAATCATGTTCATTAAAGGGTTGGTTTATGTTGGGTTTAACAGTGAGGACAGCCATGTTAGAACTAGACCCCTTCCCACTTACAGATGGCTTACTAAAAACTCCCCACTCAACCCCAAAGACTGACAAAGAGACATTTGTTAACTGTTATTTTGCCGGATGGATGCCAAAGCCAGTTAGGCAGACAGTGACCTAACTACAACTTATCTTTCTTGGTTGCCAGCACAGTATCTTAGTGACCTTCCTGGTACTTTTCCACTAGCCCTCTATATCTAGCCAAGCCTGTGTATGGCAGTGGGCTCCAGCTCTCTTGCTGGAGCCCTCATTCTGTGACCTATGTATGCATACTACTCAGGCAGGAAATGTTGTCACTAGATTTTTGCTTTTCCATACTTACTATTCTTATGAAAGCTCTGTCATCAGGTCATGCACTCAACCATACCACCTATCTAGTGTGCTCCATGGTAATCAGCATATCTTCTTCAACCCCACTTACCACCCTCAGGAGCAATGCCAAGTTAATTCTACTCAGTTAAAAAAAAGATACTGTCTGGATAAAAAATAAAATGTCCAACCATTAAAACCCATTAGAGGGGCCTTTTGTTGTCTTGTCTATCCCCACTACAGTTAAAGTAGCAGAGATTGTTCCTTGGATCCACACAGTGGAGTCAGCCAGCTTCTCTCAAGTGGGAATGCATCCCTGGTCAGCTTCACCATGTAAGATCACCTCTGGAACCTGAACACCTCCCTATCAGTATGACTCCGCTTCCCAGGAAACAACAGGGGACCTAGAAGGGCAGGATGACAGCTCTGCTCTAGTCACCACTGGAAGCTGACTAGTGTACGCATGGCAGAAGCTTGAGAAGTCAACTCTCCAATGGGACAAATGGACTGTTTTCCCACCAGTTGTTTCACTGTAATGTATTGTCAACTCCTTGTCTGTATCTGTTGCTGTAGTCTTCACATAGGTTTTGCAAAAACTGCCCCACTGACTGGATTTACAATGAAAGGCTTTTATTAGCTCTCTTCTAACTCAGTTGCACCAGATGTTTAACCCTGATAAACCAGTGTCATTGCTCTTTGATACATGTGTGGCCATAGACCAAGATGTATAATAAAGGTACAGTCTATGGCTATGGGGGCCTACTTGGGAGAGAGCCTGTGCATCCAGTGAAAAGTGTATGTGCAGGAGAGACAACTCTTGGTCATCGTGGTGGTGTGGGTTCTTATTATTGCCTTATTGGGGTTGTGGTCTCATGGGCCACAAGGAAAGGATAAAACACGCAGCCCTCCTTCACAAGGGGACAGCTGCCCCAAACTGCACTCCTGGTACCTCTAATCTGTAAATTTCACTGTACTTAAGCCATCTGATTGGAAGCGGGGACATATAATTGGCAATCAAAAAGATGACAAATGGCCTCCTGAACAAATCATCCAATACTATGGTCCTGCCATTGGGCAGAAGATGGATCTTGGGCTATCACACCCCTATATATATGCTCAACTGTATCATCAGACTGCAGGCTATTGCTAAAATTATAACAAATAAAACAGCCAAAGCTCTCGATTTGCTGACGCTCTCGATTTGCTGACAAAACAAAGCACTAAGATGTGCATGCCATCTATCAGAACCACTTGGCTTCAGACTTTTTGCTTGCTTCTGAAAAAGGAGTTTTAAAAAAAATTTAACTTAAGCGACTGCTGCTTACAGATTGATAAAAAAAAAAAAATCAGACAAAATGAGGACGCTTGCCCATGTCCCCGTCCAGACTTGGAGAGGATGGGATCCCAATGACGTGTTTGGAAGATGGTTTTCTGCCTTAGGTGGATTCCAAACTCTCATAGGGGCAATAGGGCTAATCCTAGGAACATACTTAATACTGCCCTGTCTGGCTGCCTGGTGCCACTGGGTCTGTGTCGGCAGAATAAAATGTTGCTTCCTGCTAATCTGCTCAGTGTTCCATCTCTCAGCTCGTAATTTCTCACAACACATGTAGACAGCAATTTGGGGAGGTTAGCTGGCATCTACACAGTAGTTATTTCACATTAACTCCTTTGACAGAAAAGACCTAACTAGTTGATTCTCACACCTTGGACCAGATCAGTACTTTTTTTTTTTTAATTCTTGCACTTTTTTTTTCTTTTATTCATATGTGCATACAATGTTTGGGTCATCTCCCCCACTCTGCAGATCAGTACATTTATGTGCTGTCTGGGCTCGGTCTACACTCACGCCCAGGCTCATGTTTTTGTTTCTTTCTTAGGGATTTAGGGATTTGCTGGGGATTGAACTAAGGCCTGGAGCATGCTAAGGACAGGCTCATGGTTTTAACCACCACCTGTATGTCCAACGCTAAATCACTGGCCGTTAACTACTGATGTCAGTGTAACCTGTCCGATCAAAGCAGAATTCTCAGTCTCCCTGCCCGCTACTCCCAGTTCACACTCTGCTAAATGGTACCACAATCTACCCAGTCACTCAAAACCAGATGCCCTTGCCCTTTCCTTGCCAATTTCTTTACTAGGTTTCAGCATAAATTTTACCTACTCAAAGATCTTCCTTGATCATCCCACTCTATACATCTCTAGTAGAATGCATTACAATTTGTAATCCTGATTTACACACAGAAGAGTACAAGATGTATAAGCCCCTTAGGGACAGGGATTATAACTGCTTGGTTGGTTGGCTGATTTTTAAACAAGTTTATTTAAACCATATGCTTGACTCGAAGGGAAAACTCCATTCTTTTTTATTTAAAGAGTAATTTACCCCTACTTAAAGACCGATTGCTCTACATTAACAGCTATATACAAAAAAAGTTATAAAATTGTCTTGGTTTTTACATGCAAATAAAAACATTAAAATTTTCCAATCAAGGGCTAGCAGAGTGGCTGAGAGGTAGATCTCCTGCGTACCAAGTGTGAGACCAGAGTTCAATCCCCAGTACTGCCAAACAAAAAACAAAAAACTGCAACCAAAAAGATATGCAATTATTTTTATGTTATTGGAGACTTTTTTCTTCAAACAGTGAAAGCAAAAAACTTACTGAAATATAAAGACAAAAGCTAATGAGTGTGACACTGATGGAAAGGGGGGGATATTTTCACAGAACCAGTATTTTTCCCATCCATTGCCTTTTGAATGTTTATCAAAAGATACCATTAGGCATTTAATGGGAAAAAAAAGACAGAAAAGCAATATGCTTGTGCACATACACCAGTTAATTTATATACAGCAAAGGAATGGGGAAGGAGGAAATGAAAGAATAAACTATACTGTCAGGAAGGGGTGGAACCGAATTGCAATTTTCTAATTGAGAATGTATCCTTGAACAGAGTTCTGGAAAGAGAACCCCTTTTTAGTAGACACCTCCTGTCTGCTGCTGGAATACATCAATAGTATCTTCATCCTCCAGTTCCAACTGTGCAGCTGTGTCTGTTTCATTGATTGGCTACCTGTCAAATCAGAATGTGACCTGCCTTACTGATAAATCCTGCTGTTCACAATACACTTTCCTTAGTTTGCTAAGTGGTATATGCCTCTTAAACTGCACCACAGCACCATCCTGCCTCGTCACCCTCAAATTAATATGATTGTTGTTCTGTCTTGACTCCTTCCTTGGGCTTTTCGTCGGCCATGGAGAATCTGCTCAGCTGTCACTTCACAAAAGAGGTACCCGATCCACAGCGAACAAGCACACAAGCAACACCACTGACTGCTTGGTTTATTATCTCCAGTCCCAAGGAAGGTATAGGGCATACACCATGGCTCAATGAATACATCTAATGTCCAGTAATCATCAAGCATTTATTCTTTTTTTTTTGCAGTGCTGGGGCTTGAACTCAGGGCCTACACCTTGAGCCACTCCATCAGCCCTTTTTTTGTGATGGATTTTTTCAAGATAGGGTCCTGCAAACCATTTGCCTGGGCTGGTTTTGAACCTCAATCCTCCTGATCTCTGCCTCCTGAGATGCTAGGGTTACAGGCACCCACATGGCATCCTGCCATCAAGCATTTATTTAGTGAGGACTTAACAAGCATGTGAGGTGACAATAAGTCACATTATCTTTGAAATTCCTTAGGGAAGGACCAGTGGAAACTGACAAGGCCTGCTCACTTTCCTCCAGGGAAGAAGATATCAGTTTATAAAACCACCCACCAGATAGTCTTGTGTTTGGGCCAAGTGTAGAAAAAACACAGCAGACTTGCAACTCAAGTGAAGAGAGGCCCAAAGTGGCCAGAGAGTCACCAAAAGAAAGGAGAGCATACCCCCTAATACCCCCATTTCTCTTTCAAAGTGTACATCTGAATTGCCATGTTAGAGTGCAAGCAAGTGGACGTCACATGGCGCTGAGCCAGTCACCTACATCACAGGCTCAGACCCAGGTGGCTCAGGCTTGCACTCCCCAGTGCCCTCTTCTGGTCAGAGGGAGCCTGTGGATCACACAACTCCTGGGGACCCCAGTACAAAGATGTTATCTCCATGGGAATTTTATTTATTCCTCATGCCGTGATCTGTAGGGAAGAAGTTACTGGCTCCTCTTGGGGGGCATGGACTCTGCGCTGCCAGGGTCATTCTCTGAATCTTCTTTTGGTCTGGATACAGGCTGGAACTTGAGTAGGACAGGTGGGGTGAAGATGGAAGCCTTCACACCAGGGGATGGAGTCCCACCGGTGTTGGGGGATCCACTACAGGCTGGAGTCCTACATGGGAGAGAGATGACACATGCCTATGAGGTAGAACACTAGTATACAGGGCCACCAAATGTACATGTGACAAAATCCCTAGCCTGTAAGATGGCTCCCAAGACAACACTACTTCCAGAAACCTCTCCCATGGAGCATATTTAAGGCTGTTCATTACAGCAATGTTTGTGACTGCAAAATACCTAGACCCAATCTAAATAAATGTTTATGAGAGGATAGCTAAAGGAACCACAGTACAGTTATTCAATGGACTATTCTGCTGCTGTTAAGGAATGAGGAAGGTGTTCCTCTGGTTCATTATGGAAAAAAAAAACAAGCCGGGCACTAGTGGCTCACGCCTATAATCCTAGCTACTTAGGAGGCAGAGATCAGAAGGATCGCGGATCAAAGCCAGCCTGGGCAAACAGTTCATGAGACCCTATCTTGAAAAAACTCATCACATAAAAGGGCTGGTGAAGTGGCTCAAGGTGTAGGCTCTGAATTCAAGCCCCAATACCAAAAGAAAGAAAGGAAAGAAAGAAAAGAAAAAACCAAGTGGCGGAGAATACATGAAATATGATCTTACTTGGGTTAAAACAAGTAGTGTGTGTGTGTGTGTGTGTGTGTGTGTTTATGTATTCTCGTTTTGTTTTGATTTAGTTTTTGTTTTTGAGACACTCTGCTATGTAGCCCGAATTGGTCTCTAAATCTTGATCCTTCTGCCTCTGCCTCCAGGGGCTGGGATTACAGGCCTGAGCCAACATGTATAGCCATGTGCTTTTTTCTGCATTGTGAACTTTTTCACATGGAATATGTTCTGCTTTTTAAAGGTTTTTTTTTTTTTTTTTGAGGTGCTGGGGATCAAACCAAGGGCCTCACATATGCTAGGCTCTATCAACGAGCTACATCCTCAGCTCCTAAACTCTTTTGAGGGGGTAGGGAGGATGAAACTGGAGTTTTCAGCTTCTAAGTTTTTTTTTAAAAACCAATTAAAAATAGCCCAGTTTAGCTAGTGCTAAACCAGCAATCCTAGCTACTATGGAGGCAGAGATCAGGAGGATCATGGTTCAAAGCCAACTTGCGCAAGTAGTTCAAGAGACCCTATCTCGAAAATACTTAACACAAAAAAGGGGCTGGCGGAGTGGCTCAAGTGGTAGACTACCTGACTAGGAAGGATGAGGCCCTAAGTTCAAACCCCAGTACTGCCAAAAATAATTTTGCTGATATCAACCATGACAGCACAGCTCACTCAGAAAGCAAAATGCACCAAGAGCCTAAAAATTGTCTCCATCAGTATAAGTATTTCAATAGACAAGAACAGTGGAGTAAATAATGTTCCAATTATACAATGGAGTATTGTGTATAAGTTATTATTGGTGAGCCTACAGATATTTTTAATGATGTAGGAAGAAATTCACATGCTACAGAGTTCCATGCAATATAACTGCCTGATAGGACCCTCCCAATATCAATTCTATAACAGACTGCAATATGTGTATCCTAGAAAGAAGCCTACACTGAAACAGAAATCTACCAATGGTGGTAATTTCTGGAGGTGGGAATAGGAGTAATCGGATGTGTCTTTTCTATGTAGGTTTCCATTTGTCTACAGTAAACCTATGACTTTAGATTTTGAAAAAAAAATCTCTTGTTAACTGTTCATACTTTCCCCTTGTGATTCCACTGCAGGGAATTCATCTGAAATTCAGGAACAGCTTTATACATACCGACACTAATCCCAACACTAGCTACACTTAATGGAAAACTGAAAGCTAGTCTTGTATCTCCCGATGGAGTGAAACAGTCAGAGCAGCACATACACTGGACCACTGGATCCACTAAGAACTAGAAGGGCATTGCCCCAGCCAATGGAGTTTATGTTCAAAATGGTTCAGAAAATGCAACTCCCTTAATAAAGGGACAAAGGCAAGATTTTTTTTTTAAAAAGTGACATTGCCTAATTAAATCACAACTTGATAAAATTATGCCTCGAAAACATAATGACAGGGTTGGGATGTAACTTCATGGTAGAATGTTTGCCTAATATGCAGGAGGCCCTGGGTTCAATACCCAGGGCCATAAAAATAATTACGATAATAATGATGGTGAAGACCACAGCCCCACCTGGTGGTCCCAATTTCTATGATAGTCTGACGGTGCTCAATGTTTTATTTTGAGGCTGGTGGATTGGCTCAAGTGGTACCTGCCTAACAAGCAGTTCAACCCTCCAGTACTGCCAAAGAACAAAGACAAAAAAACAAGAAAAACAAGTTTTACTTTGAAATTTTGCTTCCTATCAACATTGTAAAAAAAAATAAAATAAAATAAAGCAACCTCTGTCACTCAGCAATCAGTCATCTTCTCACTCCCTTCCATCCCCTTTCCTTTTCATCTGTCAAAAAGTGTGGAAGCCTATAGCTTCCACTTGGGTTTAATTTATGAAAGTGCATGATAATGTCTGACCATATTTGCAATTTTAACAGTCACATAATATTCCATAATTATATGAATGCATATTTAATCTGTTTCCAGATTCCCTCTTTTTAACTGATGTTTCATAAACAGAATTTTTTTATTCCTTATTTCCTTGGGGGCAGTTTCCAAGGTTCGAAACACTGGATTAAAAAATTTGACAACTTCGGGCTGGTGGAGTGGCTCCAGTGATAAGAGTACCTGCTTAGCAAGCGTGAGGCCTTGAGTTCAAACCTCCCCCCAAAAAAAACAAAAGAATTTGAGAATCTCTATAGTTACTGGTATGTTTGAAAACACTGCCTTTCAAAAGGACTAGGTCAGCATGGCACACACTTGTAATCCCAGCACTTGGAAGACTGAAGCAGGAAGAATAGGACTTTAGTGAGACCCTATCTCAAAAAACAAAATTAAAAAAAAAAATTTTTTTTGCAGGACTGGGGTTTGAACTCAGGGTCTTTGCACTTTCTAGGAAGGCACTCCACCACTTGAGCCATTTTGCCAGCACTTTTTTGTGTTGGATATTTTCAAGATAGGGTCTTGAAAACTATTCGAACTACAATCCTCCTCATCTCTGCCTCCTGAATAGCTAGGATTACAGACATGAGCCACCAGCTCTTGACCTGAGTTTTTTTCCATTGCTGTTTTTGTTTTTTGAGACAGGATCTTGCTGTGTTGCCCAAAGTGGCCTGGAGCCAAGTGACCCTTACACCTCAGCCAAATTGGAGACGGGAGTACAGGTATGCACAACCATACCCAGTTTTTTGTTTTGTTTTGTTTTTTATTTTTTGCAGTACTAGGGCTTGAACTCAGGGCCTACACCTTGAGACACTCCACCAGTCCTTTTTTGTGATGGGTTTTTTTTCAAGATAGGGTTTCAAGAAGTATTTGCCTGGGCTGGCTTCAAACCGAGATCCTGCTGATCTCTGCCTCCTGAGTAACTAGGATTACAGGTGTGAGCCGCCACCACCCAGCTTGTTTCTCTTTTTATTGTAGTAAAACACATATAAAATTTAGCAATTTAACTTTTTTCTTTGCAGTGCTGGGGATCAAACCCAGGGTTTGTGCATGTAAGCACATGCTGTACCAATGAGTGCCCTATCTTAACCACTTTTAGGTGTACAATTGGGAAGCATTAGTACATCCACAATGTTATATAACCATCATCACTATTTCCAGAACTTTGTCATCACTCAAAAACTTGCATGTTCTAGATGAAGAAGTGGAATTATTTATTATGTGTCCTTGTTTGTCTGGCTTATTTCACTTATTCTATTGTATGACAGTATCACGTTTTTTTATTCATCTTGGATACTCCTGGGTTGTTTCCATCTTTTTGTTTGTTTTGTTTTGTTTTTGCAGTACTGGGGTTTGAACTCAGGGCCTACACCTTGAGCCATTCCACCAGCCCTATTTTTGTGATGGTTTTTTTTAAGATTGAACTATTTGCCTGGGCTGGCTTCAAACCTTGATCCTCCTGATCTGCCTCCTAAGTAGCCAGGATTGCAGGCGTGAGCGACCTGTGCCTGGCTGTTTCCATCCTTTGGCTATTGTGAATAATGGTATATGAACACTCACAAACAAATATCTGTTCCAGTCACTGTTTCCAGCTCTTCTGGATATATACGTAGCAGTGGAACTGCTGGGCTCTATTGGAATGCTATGCTTTGAGAAATCGGAAAACTGATTTTCACAGTAGTTGTACCATTTTTACAGACTTTTCATTGCTGTCATAAATACTTGAGAAAAACAATTTAAAAGGAGTTGAGATTTATTTTGTGCTTGTGATTTCAGAAGTTTCAGTCCATGGTTAGCTGACTCCATTGCTTTTAGGCCCATGACAAGGCAGAGACATCATCATGGAGGATGAGCATGGTAAAAGAAAGCTGTTTTCACTCGCAAGTAAATGGATGGAACTGGAGAACATCATTCTGAGTGAGGTTAGCCTGGCCCAAAAGACCAAAAATCGTATGTTCTCCCTCATATGTGGACATTAGATCAAGGGCAAACACAACAAGGGGATTGGACTTTGAGCACATGATAAAAGCGAGAGCACACAAGGGAGGGGTGAGGATAGGTAAGACACCCAAAAAACTAGATAGCATTTGTTGCCCTCAATGCAGAGAAACTAAAGCAGATACTTTAAAGTGACAGAGTCCAATAGGAGAAGGGGACCAGGAACTAGAGAAAATGTTAGTTCAAGAAGAATTAACTTAGAAGGTAACACACATGTACAGGAAAGCAGTGCAAGTCAACTCAACTAGCAAAAACCCTTGTTCCTTCCTATTACTGCTTATACTCTCTCTTCAACAAAATTAGAGATAAGGGCAAAATAGTTTCTGCCTGATAGCGAGGGGGTGAGGGGGAGAGGGAGAGGTGTTGGATAAGGGAGGGGGGGGAGAAATGACCCAAACATTGTATGCACATATGAATAAAAGAAAAAAAGAAAGAAAGAAAGCAGTTCATCTCAGAGCAGCCAAGAAGCAAAGAGAAGGAATAGGAAGGGTCCAGGGCCAAGATTTATCCTTCAAGGCATGCCCCCAGACCTCTACTTCCTCTAATTAGGCCCCACTTTCCACAGTTCCACTACCTCCCAATAGTCTATTCAAATATTGAATACATCAATGGATTACACCATTAAGTCAGAGCTCTCATATCAAATTTTCTCTGGAAATGCCCTCAGAGACACACCCAGGTGTGCTTTACTAATCTCCTAGGTGTCTCTCAATTCAGTCAAGTTGGCAATCAAGATTAACCATTATAGCCAGCCACTCAGGAGGGTTCCAATTTCTCCACGTCCTCATACTTGTTATTGTCTGTCTTTTTTACAGCCATTCTAGTTGACATGATGTGTTATCTTACTGTGGTTTTGATTTACATTTTCCAAATGACAAATAATGGTGAGCATCTTTTCCTGTTTACTGGACATCTATATATCTTCTTCAGAGAAATGTCTAGCCAAATCCTATGACCATCTCTTAATCAGTTTGCTTTCTCATTGTTGAGATGATTTATAAGTATTTTCTCCCACTGTAAACTGTCTCCTCGCCTCTCTCCTTCCCTCCCCTCTCCTTCCTTGCCTCCCCTCCCCTTTCCTCTTCTCTCTCTAGACAAGGTCTTGCTATGCTACCCAGGCTGGACTCCAACCAAATGACCCACCTTAGTTGCTGGTGCTAGATTGACTCTAGGGCCTTGAATATACTAAACAGGTCCTCTACTTCCTTATTCTCTTTCTTGTCCTTCTTCCTTTTTGAGATAGGTCTCACTATGTAATCCATGCTGGCCTCAAATTCTCAATCCTCCTGCCTCTACTTCCTAAGTACTGAGATTACAGGCATGTGCCACCACGCCTACCTACTCTTATTTTTCAAGTGATGAAAATGTTTTAAAATTGGATAGTGGTCTCTCTGCTTCCAGTTTCCACCTGGTCATACCATGCCCCCTTTTGTAATCCCTCCCCCCAACTTTTAATAAATTCCATTACACCCAAAAATAAAAATAAAAAATAAAATTAGTGCCAGGTGCTGGTGGCTCACACCTGTAATCCTAGCTACTCAGGAGGCAGAGATCAGGAGGATTGCGATTCAAAGCCAGCCTGGGTAAATAGTTCACAAGACCCTATCTCAAATAAATCCTTCACAAAAAAGGGTAGGTGGAGTTACTCAAGGTGAAGGCCCTGAGTTCAAACCCCAGTACCAAAAAAAAAAAAAAGTCATCTGAACTCTCATTCATCGCTGGTGGGAATGCAAAGTGGTCCATTCACTTTGGAAGATAGTTTGGCAGCTTCTTTAAAAACTAAACATATTCATACCATATGATCTAGCAAACATATTCCTTGGTATTTACCCAAATGAGTTGAAAACTTATGTTCATTTGAAAACCTGCACTTGGATGTTTATGGCAGCTTTATTCATAATTGTCAAAACTTAGAGGCAACCAAGATGTCTTTCAGTACAAGAGTGGATAAATAAACTGTGGTACATCCAGGCAGTGGAATGTATTCAGCGCCAAAAATAAAGCAGCTATCAAGCCATGAGAAGACATGAGAAATGCTCAAAGCCCTGGATTCCATCCCCAGCACTACCCTCCCTTCCCCCTCCAAAAAAAAACCTTAAGTGCATAGCACTAAGTGGAAGATGACAATATGACACTGTGCATGTCAACTATACGACAGTCTGGAAAAAGCAAAACCATGGAGATGTAAAAAGGTCAGGGTCGCTAGGAAATCAAGGGAGGGAAGGATAAGTACACAGAGTACAGATGTGTGTGTGTGTGTGTGTGTGGTCATTCCGGTGTTTGAACACAGGGCCTCACACTTGCTACACAGGCACTCCACTGCTTGAGCCACTCGCCAACCTTTTTGTGTTGGGTATTTCAAGATAGGGTCTCTTAAACTATTTTCCAGGGCTGGCTTCAAACTGTGATCCTCCTGATCTCTGCCTGAGTAGCTAGGATTACAGGCGTGAGCCACCAGTATGCCGAGCCCAGCCATAACACAGATTTTTAAGGAAGTAAAACTACTTTGTATGATGCTGTAATGAAGGCTATAGGTCACTAGCATTGCTCAAACTCATAAATGCAACACTAAGCGTGTAAACCAGAAGCTCTGGATGTTGATGTGTCAGTGTAGTTCAACAAACTCAATAAATGTACCCTTCTGGTGTGGCTCATTCATAATATGGAAGGCTATGCCTATTATGGGATACGACGTACACAGGAATCTCTGTACTTTCTGCTCAATTTTGCAATCAACCTAAAACTGCTCTAAAAAATAAAAATCTATTTTTAAAAAAATTATAGATGTGGTGGCGCACACCTATAATTCTAGTTACTCAGGAGGAAGATATCAGCGGTATCTTGGTTTGAAGCCAGTCCAGGAAAAAAGTTAGTGAAACCCTCCCCACACCCATCTAAACCAACAAACTGGATACTGTGGTGCAGGCCTGTACTCCCAGCTGGTGGGAAGCCATAGGTCGGAGGATCAAGATTGAGGATGAATTTGGCAAAAACATGAAACCCTATCTGAAAACTAAACTAAAGCAAAAAAAGGGCTGGAGGCATGGTTCAAGTGATAAAGAGCCTGCCTAGCAACACAAGGCCCTGTGTTCAAACCTAGCACCTCCAAAAAAATTGCAATGAAACATTTTATATAAATCACACTTTGGAACAATATCCAATGACAAGGGAAACACTTCACATTCTAAAAGGAAAAAGCAAGTGATTAAAACCCATAGTAGTTGGGCGCTAGTGGCTCATGCCTGTAATCCTAGCTACTCAGGAGGCAGAGATCAGGAGGATCAAGGTTTGAAGCCAGCCAGGCAAATAGTTCACGAGACCTTATCTCGAAAAAAAAACATCACACAAACAAAAAAGGGGGGGTGGGGGCTGATGGAGTAGCTCAAGGCATAGGCCCTGAGTTCAAATCCCAGTACTGCAAAAAAAAAAAAACTAAAGTCAGTGAACCCCTGCTTTGCAAAACACAATTTATCAGAGGGCTGTGCCTTGGTTGGTGGTATTCCCTGTCTGTTGGTCCTTTGGGTGGTTTGTCAAGCATTCTCACCTTTACAAGCACTAGGCCCTGTGATTATATTTAGAATTATTCCTAGAAGTGGAAGAAATATAATACGGATTTTTCTGGCCTTAGTGCATATTAATATGATGCCTGTCAGAGACAGAAGATCCAGATAGGGCAGAGCCAACTAAAACTAGGCCTGGGAGGGGCATAAGGCACAAAGCCTCCCCTGGGAGGCTGACTTACCAGGGGAAGCCAGGGCAGTGGAGTTTGTGTGCATTGTTTCCAGCCAAGTATGAGAAATGAAAGCCTCCGGGGTTGAGGACCAATGGAGTCAGATCAACCATGTGACTACAAGACAAGGCAGAGATAGGATGTCAGCCCTGGGCTCCTCCACAGCCTCACTGTGCAGGATTCCCTTACAGAGCCCAGACTCCTCCCCTGGGAAATGAGGACAATACCCACTCAGTGGCTCAAGGTGAAGGCCCTGAGTTCAAGCCCCAGTACCACAAAAATAAATAAAAACATTGTGGGGAGAATTAAGTGGTGGGGCCAAAACAACAATGGAGTTTGGCTCCCAGGATTCCCTTTGAAATGTTCCTTTCTGTTTTCCCTCAAGCTCATGGTAAATTCCTTGTACCTCTTTGGGTTTGATGATAGGCCATTCCAGTTTAATTTCACTTCAGACCTTGTAATGTCTAATTTCTCCATCTGCAGGAAACAAAGGAAATCTCAGGACAAGTTGAGGAGGGGCCTTCTCATGCAGAAATACAAACCTTACACAAGAACCAGAACTATACGAATTTCATCCATTCAGCAGATACATCAATGGCCACTTGAGCTTGGCATTTTAGGGGTACAGGGGATAGAATAAGGGCTGGCAGCTGACTGAGGAGGTCCTACCCCAGTCCAAGGGGTAGAAGGCTGCCTGGAGGAAGAGGAAGAACCTAAAGTGAGGTGCCCAACAGGACACTGAGGCCAGGCAAAGTAGCTCAAGCCTGTAATCCCAGCTACTAGGGAGGCAGAGATGGGGAGGATTGTTGTTCAAAACCAGCATGCGCAAAAAGTTCAAGACCCCCTCTTAATTGATGACTGGCACCTGTGATTACAGCCACATGGGGAAGCACAAATAGGATTGGGGTCCAGATTGACCTGAGCAATAAACATAAGACGCTATCTCAAAAACAACCAATGCAGTGCTGGTAGAGTGGTTCAGTGGTAGAGCTCCTGCCTAGCAAGCACAAGGCCCTAAGTTCAACCCCCAGTACTGAAGAAAAAAGATAAACAGGAGCATGGAGGTGCAGGTACTGAAAGCAGGAAGGCAGCATGGGGACAACACCCTGGGGAGAGGTCGGCATGGAACTAAAGATGTGAGAGAAACCTACGGTTTTCCACGTGTCCTTTGGGAGTCCCAGAATCCTGCTCAGTGCACCTGGGTTGCCTTGCTCACCTAGGCTGAGAAGGTGTAGCTTTGTGCCTTCCATGATACCCCCACCCCCGTGACCATTCAATCAGGGCACCCCACTTTTATCTGCTTCATCCATTGCCATTTCACATAAGGCCTTGTCTGCAAAGAGCATTCTGCAGTGCTTTAAGAGCCATGGCTGGGAGCTGGGAAGAGCAAGCCATAGAGGTTGCTCTGAGCAGGGTCCAAAGGCTGCCCCCTCAGGATTGCCTGGAGTGGGGGTGCTCCCACTGACCGGCTTGCTGGACAGCGGAGGGAAGGGGCCAAAGACCCTAGGCATAGTGTAGACAGGGGGTGATGAGGCCACCACAGAGTCCATGGTGGTGACAGGTGGTAGCGGCAGAGGTGGCAACAAGGTTGATGGCAGGCATGGGGAGGTCGCCCGGTCCTGTAAGATGGGTTTTGGTTTCTTCACTTTGAGTTTCCTTCTCCTCTTCTTGGCACCTGTCACAAAAGATACAGTAAGTGCCACCCGGTGGCCACAATAGGGTGGAGGCCAAACATAATAGTACAGTACCTTCACATCATCTCTCCAGCAAGGAAAAGGGGGAGGCCCCCAAAGAGGACCCCAGGACAATACCTAGGGCCACTGTGATAGGTGCCAACATGTACCATCTCACCAATCTCATAGCCCCATAGAGACAGACAGAAACCTCTATCTCTGTTGTACAGACACAGGCAGGATCCATGCTGGGTTGTCTGATTTCAACAGCAGTATTTCATGGGATGGAATGAAGTATCACCGCCAGCAAAGGTTGGGTTTAGCCTGTGCAGGCTACCTGCTGCCTGTTCCCCAAATCACTGTGGGAAGCTGGGTCTGACAACACAGTAGAGAGCATCCAGGCACGGAAGAGGGGTTATGCCTGGCCCCAGGTCCATCACCGGACATGGAAGAGAGGTTACGCCCAGCCCCAGGGCCATCACGGGGCATGGAAGAGGTGCTTTCTTCACAAAGAAACCCAATGGAGAAGGTACAGAGATGGGCTCAGGGAAGGCATCGCTAAGGGACAGGACCCTGTGCCTACCCTCTTTCCACTCTTTTAGGTCTTCCTACTGCATTCAACGAGTCTGACTAATTCTACTACTCAAAGCTGGAGACCATCAGTGAAGTGGGTGTTAACAGACTCTTTATACAGCCCATCAGAACGGTTCATCTACAAAGATAATAACCGGCACCCAGCACTGGCCTGGAGGTTAACAGCCTGTGCTTTCTGGACCAACCCAGACCCAAATCCAAGTCTAGCCTTAGTTACTGACTATGCAACCTTGCACAAGGCAGCTAACCTCCTCATGCCTCTATCCTCTTCTGTGAAACAGGGGTAAACAACCTTGAAGCCAGTTAGAGGAATAGTGGCATGGATGACTCACATGTAGCACCAGGGAAAGCGGGTACCCCTAGTTGAGCTGGACCTCTTGGTGTAATTTAGAAATTACCCCTCCTCTAGTGTAGCGTATTACTGAACACAGCGCACCAGAAGAACTAAGCCTCAATCCAGTAAAGGACTTAAAGTGACTGTTGAAGAAACATAAGCAGAAGGGGGACAAAGCACACACCACCAGCAGACTCCACAACAGACATAAACCCATAAGGTGGGATTCCTAGAGGACAACACAGTTCAAGTAGATGGGGAGACAGAAGAAATGATGCCATTCCACCTCAAAGAGGACTTCAACAGAAGTCATGGATTCTCAATTGCCCAAGGCAAGCCCAGGTTATACCTGCCATCTTCATGTGATCACAACTGTCCCAATTTGGGTGGCACAAATTATATGGTCACCCTAGTGCAAAAGGAACCTAAGAGGCCTGAGGCCCAAAACCAATGTGTGGGCCTCAATGGATCCTGATGTGACAGGTCAAGTGTAGAAAAACACTGGTAGACCATGGGGAGACGTGACTGTGGGATGACTATGTATCACCTAATATTACGGAATTGTTGTCATTTATGTCACAATGGTGACATTGTGATTATGTCACAAAATATCTTTTTATTTTAATCAAGATGCATGCAGTCTGGTAGTATGGCTCAAGCTGCAGGGTGCTTGCCTAGCAAGCATGAAGCCCTGAGTTCAAATCCTAGTGCCACCAAATAAATAAAACCTTTAAAAAAAAAGATGCATGCAGCTAGGGGGTATAGGTGAGTGGTAGAGCCTCAGGTTTGATCCTCATTTATGAAAAACCTTTTAATTAATTAAACAAATGAAGTTAAGATTTGCTAAACATGGTAGTACATGCGTGTAGTCTCAGCATTCAGGAGGCTCATGAGCTCATGACTTCAAGGCCAGCCTGGGCAACATAGCTATACTCCCTCTTAAAAAAAAATGTTCTTTTAATTAAACCAGGCATTGGTGGCCCAACACCTGTAATCCTAGCTACTTGCGAGGCAGAGATCAGGAAGAGCTTGGTTGGAAGCAAGACCCCATCTCCAAAATAACTAGAGCAAAATGGACTATTGAAGGTTTGGCTCAAGCAGTAGAGTGCCTCCTTTCCAAGCTCAAAGCCCTGAATTCAAATCCCATCCCACCAAAAAACAAAAAAAACTTAAAATTAAGATACATTCTAAAGTATTCAGGGTACAATGACAATATCTGAGATTTCTCTTGAAATACTTCAGGAAAAGGAAAGTGGGTACAGACAGTAAAACAAGCATGGCATAGCCTGGGGCTATGGTTCATTCCTGTAATCCTGTACTTCCCTAATAGAAACTTAAACAAGTGCCATGCACTGGTCAGAGACAAGTAGTTCTGTGTCAGTGGCTGAATCACTGAAGTCAGGGATGGCCTGCTACCCTACACACACCACTCCAAAACACCCTTCAATCTGAGTGACAACCACGCTTAGGCTCAAAAAAGGTAACCCTCACTTGCTCAGGATCACAGCCAGGAAGAAGCAGTGGAAGTCAGTCTCCCACCCAGCTAATCTAGGTAAAAGCTGTGCCTCCTTTTCTCCCAGAATTCTGCCTGCTCCAGGCTCTCCATTCCTCTTTGGATAAAACCTAATCCAAGAAAAGCAAATCCAGCCTGGAAAATGGAGGTGGGCACCTCAAGTCACCCTGCCACCCTGGCTTGGCTGATGCTGCAATGGGCCTGCAGAGCTGCCTTGGGCTCAGACTTCCAGGTTCAGTGTGCGCAGAGGTTGAGCCTCACCCTGGGAGTACAGGTGCACACGAGCAATGCGCTTCTTGAGCTGCTCCAGGCGTTGGTGCATTTCTAAGGCACCCATGCTGTTGCACCGGTTCAGTTCCCCCTGTACAGCACAGTTGAACTTCGCCTGTGACAAAAAACGGGGGAGGAAAGGCAAGAGGTAGCCCAAGGGGTGAGTCACCTGTTAGCTTCATCCCCCAGGCTAGGCAGCCATGGGCTCCTGAAGACATTACCTTGCAGCCCCAGCTAGGTCCCACAGTGACCTCCCCACTCAGCCCCTCCCCCCAAGTCCCATCATCAGAGCTCCGCCCTTCCTGGTCCCCACCTCCCCTCCTGCGACCGCACCCAAAGGAAGGAGAGGAGCCCGCGCTGCTCGCACTCGGTCTGCTTGCCCTTGCGCACCACCCTCTCGGCCAGCGCCGGGTTGCGGTCGAGGGTGCGGAAGAGGCGGCGCAGGGCTCGCTCGGTGTAGGTCGCCGCCTGTCTCTCGAAGTCCTCCTCGGAGATGAGCTGGCAGAAGGTCACACTCTGAGGGAACTCGCTGTCGAACTCGTCCAGGACCTCCATCCGAGAGGGACTGCTGGTGATGGGCCTAGATTGCCTGGGGGCGGAGTGGCCGTCGGAGTGGGACTCGGGAAGGTCCTGGTTCGTCGACCACCGCCCGCCCCGAGGATGGGGGTACAGGGGCCATCCCCGAGGATCGGGGCTGGAGCTACAGAAACGCACCCACTCTCTCCCCTACAGCCTTGGTGCTGACGCAGGTACCGTCGCCGAGAGCCGCCCCCCTCCCCCGCCCACCCCAGGCACTGAAAGTGGAGGCAGGGGCGGGGCCAAGCCAATCCTCGTGCACGTGACAATGCCGGCCGTTCGGGGCATGCGCCCTCGTGTCTTCGACGTGGAGAACGAGGCCCCATCCTAGGATCTCTGCCGGTGGCCACACAAAGGACATGGTCATCGCCTGGTATCTAACAACTCCTCTAAGGCACCCACCCCTCTTCCAACCTCCAGTTCCCCTTCCCCCTCCCCCACTCTATTTCTCTAGTCTGCAGACTTCCCCCTCACCAAGGCAATGCCCATAGGACTTCATTCTTCTTCTAACTCCTCTAACTTCACCCTCTTCCCCTCCAGCATAACAACCCCCTCCCCAACCCTATCCTTTCTCCTCCCCATCACAACCACTTCACTCTACTCACTGTCCCCTTTTCAGTGTCCTTTTACTCTTGCCCTTCTGAGTTTCTGAAGGTCCTATCTTCACCATACCATCTTGTAAAATCTTCCCTGCCTCTTGGTCCTGGTCAGATTCCAGAACTATCTTAACCAATGCAAATCGTTTCAGGTTCAGGCTTCCCTTGAGCTCTAGGCCCACATTCAGATGTCCGCTGGGGACTGTTCTTGGGCATCTCACCCTGAAATTCTAGAATGGCTTCTTCCTCCTCTGCTTGGTCAGCAGCTAAACCCACCGTCAACCCAGCCACTAAAGGTGTATTCTGGACTGCTTCCTGTCTTTCCCTTCCATCAGCCCTGAGGTCCATGGAGTGATTCTGAGAAGGCTACCAGATTTTTGCTGTCTGCAGCCAAACCACCAGCCCTCTAGGTCCAGGCACTTCCTCCTGCTTGAAGCCAGGACATAAGGTGGAAAGAATCTAGGAGGACAGGGTCACTTTTGTGCATCTTGCTTTAGAGTGCAGACAGGCTCAGTCAGATACACCTGGGTCCAAGTCTCCATGTTGCTTCCTGAACACTGTGGGACTTTCAAAATGAACCTTTTCTTTATATATGATGTGCCTTCTTTTTCAAGCAGCATATATATATGTATATATATATATACTGTGAAGGTCAGTCAGACCCCTGATTACTACTACCTTCTTATGCTTATAACCATGCTTCACACTTTGTATGTTATTTGTGGTTTTTTTTTTTAAAGTATATTGTGATAGTCAGTCATAGTGGTACTCTCTTGTAATCCCAGCACTTGGAAGGCAAAGGCACCTGGATTGAGAATTCTAGGTTAGCATGGGCTACATAGCAAGACCTCGTCTCAAGAAATAAACAAAACAAGTATACTGGTCCCCTCTGGATCAGGCACAGCCAAGGGAGATTTAAAACAAAAAGGCCCAAACACATGATCTCTGCCCTCACAGGCTCCCAGTATAATGGAGACTTCAGCTACTGGGAGAAACTGCTATCCAGTGCTGAGGTGCCAGAGGAATGCTTCCCCAGGAGGGAGTGCTAGCCCCGATTTACAAGCCTTCCCCAGCAAGAAGAATCTTCAGCAGTGGGTACAGAATCTGCACAGTGGGGGAGGGGTGGCCACCTGCAGCCTTAGCCCCTGGAGCCAGGAGAAAACAGGCCTGAGTCAGTTGTCTCTGGGATTATGGAGACACAAGGAGCCAGGACTAGAAGGCAAGGGAGCATATGTCATTGCCCTTTGTCTCTCCATGGGTGCCAGTGCTTGTATGCCTAAGGGAGGGTTGAAGCCAGTGTTCCAGGGATAAAGGGTACTCCTCAAAGCCCAGGTGGAAACCTGGGCCTTCTCTCAAACTTGAATGATTGCCACTGGACACATTGTGTCAGTGTCCTGATGGTAGAGGTGGTCCTAAAAGTACACCTAGGGTTAGTTTCCTTGGAATTTCAGCTCCAGTTCCCCTATCCCAGCTGGGAAGGCAGGCATGCCAGACACCTCACAGTCCCTCCTGCAGGCTCAGGGCACAGTTCCCTGTAAGAGAACAAGTTGGCATGATTGATGGGTCTTTCCTGCAGGCTTTATACCCCAATTCTCCCATCTATTCCAGATAGTGTCACTTCTGCTGAACCCTAATCCCAAGGTAAATGATGCCGTGGTGAGAGCTATCTCACTCCCCCTCCCAAGACCCAACCCAAGAGAACACTCTCTCCAAGCCTGGCTCTTTTCAAGAATTCAGGGAAGGCTGGATTCAGTTCACCCCCATATAATCGGGATTGAGCTGGATCTAAAACAGGCTTGGGAAGCCCCTTCATGCAAAGCAGTGAACACCTATTTCTTCACAAGGCCCCAACCTTACCTGGATAGCCAGTGTGCCTGGATAGCCAGTGTGGAAAGAGCTTCAAACCAGAGCCTTTCTGAATCTGGGGTCTCTGCCTATGCACCTGACCAACAATGATCAGGATGACAGCTTTGGGAGATGATCTCAAGGATTCATCTCTACTCTCAGTTTTCTCAGCTGGGAAGTGGAGTGAGGCAGCAAACCCTCTTCCCACCAAGTGCTGTGGGTGGCGGGCAGGGCCTGACCAATGCCCTTTCATCATTGCACTGCTTCCCAGGGGCCCACAGTAGTGCAACAGGGAAAGAGTATCGGGCAGGCCTACTAGCGCCTCTGTTGGCCTTTCTTGGTGGTGGTGGGTGGTATCTGAGACCTGGAATGCAGGCCCACTGGGGCGGGGCCTCTGCCTGGGGGGAAGGGTGCCCTCTGACCCCAGAGGCCCAAGCCTGGCTAGAATCTCAAGTTTCCATGGAGAAGGGAGTGAACTGGGCAGGGGGAGGGGAGGGCCTGTAGGCCCAAGGGACCAGGCCTGGAAAGAGAGGAAAGAAGGGGCTGTGGGTGAGGGGTTCCCAAGGCTGGTTCCAGATGCTTTGACAATATCATTGCACTGCTTCTCAGAGCACAGTAGTGCAACCTCGTCAGAGCACCTGCAGCCAGTAAGCGGGGGGGACCCCATCGCCTTAGTACACGCAGGGCGGGAAGCTGAACCATGGATGGATGGGTGGGGCAGGGAAGCGAATCCCAAAGGGGTTGCAATCCTTGCGGTCTTCAGAACCACAGTGCACCCAAACCAGATCCAGGTTCTGGTGGAAGAGAGACTCCAGCCCTGCTAAGAGAGCAGACGGGCCAGACGGGGGAGGGGGCACATACACAAAGGAGAGGGGCCCGGGCTCAACCCGCAGTCCGAAGCTCGCTTGTGCTTGGAGCGGGGTGAGTACAGCCCGACGACCCTACTCCTTAACCCGGCCTACGGCTCCGGGAGAAGAAGGGTGTCTCAAACTCCCGGACGATGCGCCCCTTCCGGCTCAAGATCCCATCCCTGGCCCCTTGCCCCCAGTATGGGCTCTGCGTCCTCTCCAACAGATTCTCCTGCACAGCGGACTACAGCTGAACAGAAGAATGTGGGGCTTCCCGCCCTTCTAGACTTCCCAGAGCAGAGAGGACGTCCGAGGTCCTGGTAGCGTCCCTCCACACGTCCGGCCCCATAGGGCCCCTCTTCCGCGCCCCCCATCTCAGACCCGGCTACTCACACGAATAGAGACCCCTACTTCTCAGGGCAGGAGCAAGACCCAGGCTAGTGGGAGAGGGTCCTGGTGGTCGTCCGCACCGGTGATCACACCCCAACGACCCCGCACCTCGTGGCGCCCTCTCGCCAGCCGGCTCCATCTTTAACCCGCTGACAGTCGGAGGGGCCGTACCCCCGGCTCCTTAGCATAGTGCCACGCTGATTGGCCCGCGCCGGCGAGGGGCTTTGCCTCTCGCACACCTATTGGCTGCTACCAGAGCGATTTCAAAATAGCCTCCGGGCTCGGATTGGCCCGGCGCCGCCCGAGTCTCGGGCTCAGTGGTTTTAACAATGAGTTCCACAAACACTTTTTCCCCATTCATAACTTATCAAAAGGAACTTTACCCGCCTTTTCTCAGCTCCGATCTTTGCAAGCTTTCTAGCGATACCGACCCGAGTGCTTCGAAGCCTTGTGGGAGGTGTCCTCGGCGCGGTTGAGCCCACTGGAGAGGGGGCTGCGACCCCTGGGAAGGGTCTGAAGCCCTGGCCAAGCCTGCTCTTGATTGGGGTCGCAGGCTGCTTCGCATTGTGTGCTGAGATCTCGCTTTGCGCATCCGGGATGGACTTTTCATTGGACCCGAGAGGGGTAATCCCCCTTTCCGCATCACCTGGTGGTTGGGGGGGGGGTTGCCTGAAATCTCGCTGTGCTGCGGAAGCCCGGTCCTGAGGTCCATAGGCCTTGAGGATATGTGGGAGATATCGGGAAGAAGATGCTTGGGACCTTGCGTGATTGCGATCCACTTTGTGGATAAGCATTAAGGGACTGTCAATGAGCAGGAAGGATATGTGGTTTACTCCACCCTCTCCCGCCACCCCACAGCTCGCGCGCGCGTGTGCATGTGTGGTTAGGCGACTGAGCATCCTTTTTCTTTTGAACTGAGGGCCTAATGCTTGCTAGGCAGGCGCTCTACGGCTTGAGCCACTTCCACCATTGCCCTCTCCTGTTTCATTCTCAGTCCAATGGCTGAGAAAGAATGCTTTTGAGGCTGGCAGAGCTGGGGTTCAATTTTTAAGAAACTTGGTTGTCTTCTGTGCAAAACTGAGACAATAATTGGAGCCTGCTTCATAGAGTTGTTGCCAGGGGCAAATGAGATGCTGTGTAAATCGTTCACCCAACGCCAGGCACTTAGTGTTTCATAAATGTGAGTGCTGCTGCGATTTTAATTTTTGGTCTTATCCTGCATTCTTCCTGGAGCCAATGTTCTGCTTTGGTTGTCCAGGGAGTCCTACCTTCTGTGCACTGTTGGGCTCTTCCCTTAATGGACATTTCCTCACTTCACTGCTTTCTTTGTGTGCGTGCGTGTGCGTGTGTATCTGGACATGGACCAGAGGAGCATCCCTTCCGATGTGGAGGGTGTAGTGCACATTGTTATTGCACCATCTGCAACCTCTTAGCACTCACCTCTACGGGAAGAATGCTCACTGCCAGCACCTGTGGTCCTCCCTGGGCACCTTACTCTGGCTACTGAAGCTTGTTACCCAATGTACAGAGCAAGTAGGAAGGGTTGCAAAGAAATTCTCCCCACCCACCCAGAAGCCCTAAGACAGTGAGGGAAGATACTTTGGTAAGTGCCAGGCTTCCTTACCTCTCCTGTGAGGTAACTTTGATGAGATCCCCAGTGGGACTGAGTTCCAGTTGCCAGCAGGGGTACCTTCCTCCACTATGTGTCCTTCACTGGTCGCTTTTCCTTTCCCTCTCACAGCCCTACTACTGCTCTTTCCCAGTGTTTTCTAGGATCACCTGCAACATTCTATGCCTTTCAACCCCGCCCCATCCAGAAGATGCTGAAAGAAGTGTATAGACTTTAGATGGATTTGCTCAAGAAGTCTGGCAATGGCTCAAAAAGTGAAGGATGATGATAATGGAACATGAATGTAAAAGGAGGACTGTTAGGGATCAACGGCTAGGGTGAGAGGGAAAAGGAAAGGATACTGAAGGGTGAAAAGGATTGAGTACATATAAATATAAATTTTAAATATATGTATATCTTATAATGAAACCCACTAAACACTTTGAAAGGGGGAGTGGAGGGGGTGAATTTGTTCAAAGTACACTGTATATATGTATGGAATTATCACAATGAAACCATCTCATATTAATGTATGCTAATTCAAAAATAAAATAATTTTTTGAAACATTTTTAAAGGGCTGGCAGAATGGCTCAAGAAGAGCACTTGGCTAGCAAGCATGAGGTCCCGAGATCAAAGCCCGGTGCTGCCAAAAAAAAAAAAAAAAAAAAAAATAGAAACCTAAATTAAAAAAAATTTTTTTTAAAGATAACAAGCTTTGTAGTATGTAGTAAATGGCTTAAAAATGTGTATCTTAAATCGTATCTACTCAGGAGGCAGAAATTAGGATTGTGGTTCAAAGCCAAGCTGGTCAAACAGTTGGAAAGACCCTATCTCGAAAAAAAACCCCATCACAAAAAGGGCTGGTGGAGTGGCTCAAGGTGTAATTTCCTGTGTAGGGAGCAGAAAATGTTTCTCTCCTCTTTTCCCCATTTCTCCCAACTTTATCCTGTTATACTAAAAAATAATCCTTGCCAAGACTTAGAAAGAAAAAAAAAAAGGATTGAAAGTAAATTAGTTATTTAAGTTATGTGACTTAATACAACCTATATAAATTACATAACATACAGACAATACTACATTAAAAATAAAATTTGTGTGTGTGTGTGTGTGTATGGAAAGATTTGCATTTCATGTTTTTAAGTGGGAAAAAAAAAAAAGAAAAAGCAGACTGCAAGCTGGACTCACAACTGTAATCCTAGCTACTTAGATATGAGATTAGGAGGATCTAGGTTCGAGGCCAGCCTGGGCAAACACTTTTCAAACTCACCAAAATAACCAGAGAAAATAAAGCTGGAAGTATACTATAGCTCAAGAGGTGAAGCACCTACTTTGCAAGTGCAAAGCCCTGAGTTCTAACCTCAGTCTCACAAAATAAATAAATAAATAAATAAAAATTCATACTACAAAATAAATGCTATCTCATTTTCTTGTTCAGAATTGACAAAAAGACGGAAAAGGCTTATTTTATTTATTTATTTTTGGTGCGACTGGGGTTTGAACTCAGGGGTTCATGCTTGCAAAGCAGGTGCTCTACTGCTTGAACCACACCCCCAGTACCAGAAAATGTTTTCATGAGGGAAAATCCTAATAACAGACCAAGATGCTATCACAGTTATTTCTGGGTAGTGGGGTAATTGATTTTCATTGTCTTCTGTACACTTTTCTGTATTTCTTAATGGTTTTCAATGTAGGTGTATTACTTAATGACTGAAAAACATCTAAACAACTAGCAGATTAATTAGATACAATGCCTCTTTGCCATTTGGAATTCTGCCTTTCATCACAGGCTTCACAGGCTTATTTGGGACTTCTAACCAGTATCCCAGAGAAGGTGGAATCACAAAGACAAGTCCCCAGCCAATGGCAAATAAATAAGTGGTAACATGTCTCACACAAATGGCCATAACTGCAGTTCATGTGGAGATCCTGGATAGGTTTCTGCCTCTCCCACTGATCTTAGCGCACACTGATTTTTCTCCTTCATAGCTCACAGCTGTCTACTTTCAATATTAATTGGAAAAGGGATTTGGGACTGGAGGTGTGACTCAAGCTGTAGAGTGCCTGCTTTGGAAGCGTGAAGCTGAGTTCAAACCACAGTCCCTCCAACAAATAAATTACTTAGAAAAAAAAGGTCTTGACATCTTCCCTAACATCTTCCTTTAAAATAATAACTTTTTAAAAAGACTACAGAACTTTTCTCAGTTTTTCCTAAAACTAGGTTTCATTAAAACAGGTTTCTAATTATTTCAAGTAATAAAATATCAGACAGCAAAAGGGAGGAAATCTTCGTTTCTGAATTCTTTTTATATGCTGTGCACATCTCTATTCAGAAAAAAAGAAGAAATGGATTCACTGGAAAAAAACAGTTTGGCAGTGGAGGGACCAGAGTCTCAGGGGAGAAGAGTAATGGAGTCCTCCTCTCCTCAGGACTCAACTGGTGAGAGCTTTTCTCCTACCCTTACACCACCAGTCTTTAATAATAAAATCAAGTGATTTTATAAATATTAGTGCTCTGCCCATACTATTCCAAGCCCCCTCTGGCCAGTTGCCACCCCCAACCTCTCCTTGGGCCTCTTTTTGGTTCTTTCTCAGGGAAGCAATACTCTTTTATCCCTAGCCCTCCCTTAAGCCCTTCCTGTCCTATGTAGCCTCCCTCAACACCCTGCCTCCAGTTACCAAGTTCAGGAAGCCTGTCCAAGTTGGGCTCCTCTTCTGGGAAGCCTCCTCAACCTTTGGAGGTGGTTGGTCTTTGCAGTTGCCTTCCCTTGAGATATCTTTTCAGGTTCTCCTTAGGACCTTGGAAGGTCATGGGTTGGGGACTGAGATGCCACATTGCTAGGCAGGCTGTGGTTCCATTTGCACCAAGAGTTAGGTGGCCTGTGATGCTAATTTCCAGCAGGTGGGCAGAATTCTCACCTGGTCCATGGTCAAAGTCAAGTGTCAAGACTGCCACAACTGCCAGGACAGTAGGGTCCTCACTGTAATGGATGAGGGAACTGGAGAGCCTGAGCCCCATATCCTAGCTGGAAGGGTTTGGGGATCCCACTCATCTTGCCCTGGGTCCCAATCCCCTCAACAGGAAAGTTGTTCAGGCTCGGGGACTGTGAACTAAGTCTCTTGCCATCAGTCCAGCTATGGGTAACAGGAGAGCTGACTGCTCAGGGCAGTATTAGAATTCATGAAAGAGCATCACAAAGGTTTGGCAGGTTCAGCAGCCAGGCCCGACTGGAGAAAGGTTTTGCACCAGAGATGGTGCACCTTCTGGTCACCCCCAGCCTCCAAGCAAACACAATCACAGACCAACATTCTTTAATCATAAAGGCACTTAAGGACCCCTATAAACCCAAAGTCTTTGCTGAGAGTGGCTCTGCAGCTGTCCTACCCTGCTACCCTCCATTCACCCATCCACACACTCAGAGTTCATCGTGACCTGCAGAGGGCTCCGAACTGGGCTTGATGAAGATCCCTTCCATGGCCTTCCATGTGTTGTGCGTATTGGCACTGGGCATGCCATGCACCTCGTGTTGCCCACGGATGGGGCTCCCATACTGCTCACCAGTGACTGACAGGAACACAGAGGTACCCACATGCTGGAAGCGCACAGAGGCATCACGCTCCCAGTGCTGCCCAGAGCAGCGCACTGTCCACAGGTCCAGGTCATCACCCTCACCATCTTCTCCAAAGGCGCTCACCTCCTGTGGGTGTGGGGTATAGAGGGCACAGAGTCACTCGAGATACTTCTCAGGTAGGGCACCCAGTGCACTGGGCCTATGGTCCTTTCCTCTGTACCTCTCTGAACCTCAGCTTCTACAGCTGCAAAATGGGGCTCCCTTCCCAATGCAGGATCTTTGGACACATACACACCCTGTTGCATCTATCTGTGGAGTGATCACTGCCTCTTATGGAGCTAAACCCTCCTTCTCCGTGTTCTCCCAGTCCGAACCCCTCTAAAGTCCAGTCCCCCAGGCTGACAGTCAAGGTCTCTTATCTCCAACTTTTTCTTCCACAAACTCCCCTAAAGTACTGACAGTTCCAGCCCAACCCATGGAGCTCCAATGATCACCATATACCTTGGCACAAACTCTCCCACGGGCTTGGAAAGCCCCCTTTTTTCCCGTCTGGGACCTGGGGGACTCATCTTTCCAGACCCAGCAGAGTTCCTCCTCCCAAAGGCTGTATGGATCCCTCTTCCGGGACCCAGGTTACCCACAAAGAGGAACTAATCACACAGCTCTCTCCTCCAGTCTGTCTCCCAGGACAGGGCCCTGGTCATCAGCGCCACACGCCCAAGAGGGGGCGCTCGAGTAAACATTTCTGAATTGCCAAGGCTCTGCCCCCCAAACCCCCGCCCCTCACACACCCCACAAGGGCCTGTGCAGGCGGTCGAGGGGGATTTACCTGGTTGTTGGATAGTGGCGACGGGAAGTGATGCGTGTGCAGGTTCTTGCCAGTGAGCACGTGCGTGAGCCGCACCGACTGCCCGCAGCGCACCGGGAGCCCGCGCGGGCACCCGCCCTCCGAGCCGCCGCGGATCCGCCAGTAGCTATTGGCGTCGTCCGAGGACTCCACGCCGGTCACCGACTGTTGGCCGCTGCCTGAGGAGGGACAAGCCACCCCTGTCAATCGCACAACTCCGGATCCTCGTCCTGGACACCATCGAGTTTCACCCACACCCTAACTTTGGGATCCTAACGGCTCAGCCCCAGCCCCGGCCCCTGCCTGATTCCCAAGTCCCTTGGCCCCAAGTTACCTGTCGACCCTCCTTGTCCCCGGTCATTACCTCTCCAGGCCCGCAACCCCTCAGCCACTTGGCTCTCTGACAGCCCACGGACACCACGACCACCGCTCCTTCAAAGCCCCAACCCCGACCTCTGCCCCTTGGCGATCCCCAGCCCCGCGCACCAGATCCGTATTTGATGTCGTGAGAGTGCAGCCGCACCCTGTGGTGCGTGTTGAGCAGCTTCAGCACCGACCCGCAGGTCACGAGCCCCACGCTGGTTTTGGAGGCGCCACCACCCGGCACCAAGAGCGTCAGCAGCAGCCCCAGCAGCGCGGGCCGAGCAGCCCCGCCGCAGCCCGCGCTCCGCATCGCCGCGGCCCGGCTACAGCCGCTCGGGACCCCGGGCTGCTTCCGTCTCCACCGCAAGCCAATCCGGCTCTGACAGCGCCCGCCCGCGTAGGCCAATCGCCAACCCGCGCGGCGCCCCGCCTGCACTGCCATTGGATCATCTCGGAGGGGATCCACCCCCAGCTTTCCAGAGCAATAGCTGGGAGGGAATTGGAGACACGAGGAGAGTTTTGATTGGTCCACGCTTCCGAGAACTTACCAATGAATACCAAGGCTGCGAGCGCTCGGTAGCACCGTGAGTGAGCTTGCGGAGCTTTGCGGCCGCTGAACCCCTAAACGCCGGGCTCAGGGTCCTAAGACCATTCGAGAATATGTCCAGGAAGCCCGGTGATCCTGAACCTCTGGGACCTCAGTCATGCGTCTCTCCCCTCAGACCCTGGGCGTGCAGCTGCAGGGTCTTGAAACTGCTGGGTCAAAAGATTTTGTGATCACAAAGTGGACGGATACCAGATTTACTGAATCGCCTGGTCCCAAAAATTGATTAATCCCTCTCTGGACCCTGGGGTTTTTGACTCTCCCTGGCCACTCAGCCTTTTCATGGCAGGATCTCATGGTCACGGGGGTCAGGCCGCAGAATGGCAGCAGAGAGCTGTGGGGTTGAGGATAATGACAGGTTCTCACCAGAAAGACCCAAAGCTGTCTTAGGAAATCACAACCCAGGGAGACCGTGACAACCGAGCCTGTGGGGTGATCGTGTCCCCAGGTCTACTGGACACGAGTAGGTTCCCAGCTTGATGTCTTCTCAGAGGGTTGTCAGCTCAGTGTTCCAGGGGAGAACCTGTGCTACTGTTTTTACTTACTCATGCATGGAGCGTTCGTACACTGACTTCACTCCATTCTCTATGTTGGGGCCCCGTTATCCCCAAGAGGCTGCTAAAGCACGCACTTGGGCACTAGCAAAACAGTGATTAAAGTTCATATTTAATTAAACCCTCCGGAATTATGCATTCAGATAATACAGAGTAAAGCCTTTTTGACGACAGCAACATGTTTAGGTCTTTTTTTTTTTTTTTCTTTTTGGCGGTACTGAGGTTTGACCTCAGAGCCCTGTAGCAAGTGCTCTATCACTTGAGCTAGGCTCCCAGCCCAGTTTTTACTTTTTGGGTTTTTTTTTGGGGGGAGGAGGCAGTACTGGCATTTGAACTCGGGGCTTGGTGCTTGTTAGGTAGATGCTCTACCTTTTGAGCCATGCCTCCAGACCTGCTTTAGTTATTCTTCAAATAGGGTCTCCCATTTTTGCTCAGGCATCCTCAGACCACAATCCTCCCTATCTCTCTGTCTCCTAAGTAGCTAGGATTACAGATGTGTACCACCACACTTGTTAATTTAGATTTTGTTTGTTTTCTGTAGTGCCAAGGCCTCACACATGCTAGGCCAAGTGCCCTGCTACTGAGCTATACTCCCAACCCTATGTAGGGGTTTTGTGTTTAATGATTTTATTTATTTGGTGGTACTGGGGTTTGAGCTCAGGGCCTTGCACTTTCTAGGCAGGTGCTCTGCCACTTGAACCACTCCGCCAGCCCTTTGTTTGTGCGTTGGAATTTTTAAAGATAGGGTATCACAAACTATTTGCCTGGGCTAGCTTCCTACCTCAATACTACTGAACTCTGCCTCCTGTAGCTAGGATTACATGCATTACATACAGTGGCCAGCTTAATGTTTTTATTTTAACTTACATATGGGATAAGACACCTTGATCTTTTTAACAGTGTCTAAATGGCCAATGGTATGTCCTAGATTTGGCAGACCCTACTCTTGGCAGAACTACAACCTTGCAGAAAGTCATCACCCTGATCCTGGCCACCTCCTCTCCTCCTCCTCTCCTCCAGACTAGATGGAGGGGCAACAGCACAATCTGAGAGGCAACGGAAATGTCTTCTTGGAAATATCAGGAGGTACCTCAAACTTAACATGTCTAAAGTAGAATTCCTGGACTCCTCCCTGGTGCTTCTCCAGGCTTTCAAGTCTCAATAAATGGCATTTCCAATCACTAGTTACTCAAGTCCAAAACATGGAATTCTTCTTTGATTCCTCTTCTTTTTTATTTGCCTAGGTTGGCTTTGACCCACAATCCTCCTGATCTCTGCCTACTAGTAGCTAGGATTACAGGCATGAGCCACCAGTGCTGGACTGATTCCTGATCTTTAATTCCTCACATTTAATCCAGTAAGTCTTTGTTTCTGGGTGGGGTTGGTAGGACTGGGGTTTGAACTCAGGACTTCGTGCTAGCAAAGCAGGCAGTCTACGGCTTGAGCCACACCAAGTCTTGATGGCTCTTGAATCTACCATCTCCACCCTAATCCTAATGCGGTCTCTCCTCCTAACAGGTATCTACCACTACCTCCTAACAGACCTCCCTGTTTTCACTATGCTGGCTCTTACACAGGCATTCTCTGGAAAATGGTGGAAGCAAAAAGCAGACCATGCCAGACACCCACTGAAAGCTTTCGGTATTTTGTTTAGTTGCACTTAGGACCAGAAGATGGCAAGAATAGAGTAGGCAACCTCCCTGACAATCAGAAACAGGACTCTAAGTAAGCTGTGTCAGTTGTTAGAATCAAATGAAGTCGTTTTGATTACTTATCTAAGTAAGTAAATCTTGGGGATTGTGAAGGGACCTGATAATTAGAACTAGCCACCTAAGACCGCCAGAGCTATGACCTTGCACATAGGTCACCACAACTGTACATAGAAGATATTTTAGCAAGGACAGCTGTCCAGCAAATGTTTCATCTCAGACTGGCACCATCCTTGTTAATCTTTGTAGCCAATGATTATTATTATTTCAAAATAGTTTATGAAGGCTGACAGAGTGGGTCAAGTGGTAGAGTACCTGTTTAGCAAGCATAAGGGCTCTGAATTCAATCCTCAGTACTGCCAAAACAAAATAGTTTTTGTAATCTTCATTTCTCCTTTAAAAACTTTCCTTTACGCCAGCACCAGTGGCGCATGCCTGGACTCCTAGTTACTTGGGAGGCAGAGATCAGGAGGCTTGTGATTTGAGACCAATCCAGGCAAAAGGTTCTCGAGACCCTATCTTGAAAATACTCAACACAAAACAGGGCTGGCAGAAGGGCTCAAGTAGTAGAGTGCCTATCTAGCAAGCATGAGGTCCTGAGTTAAGACCCCAGTACTGCCAAAAAAAAAAAAAAAAAGGAAAGAAATCTCAATCTCCTCAAATATGCTCTGCTATTCCCAAATATAATTTTTTGGAGACTCTCTGATTACCATTCAGTTGACAGCTAAGACTCCAGAACCAGAATGGGGAAAAACCATTGCTCCTCTCCTTTGATTCTCCTAGGGCTTCTACTGTTCCCCTCTCTGCTTCCCTCTGCAGACAATGTTCCCTGGCTCACCCTATAGACAGGTGCTCAGGTCTGAATATGCCATCTCCAGTGCCCTCCATCTTCCAACATCATCTGTCTTCAGGTTCAGATTCTCAAGTGTCTGAGCACTCAATATAGGTTGTGTACTGCTCAAAGTGCAAAACAGCTGTGGAGGAGAGGAAGGGTGGACAAGCTAGTCTCCAATATGGCCATGAACAATTCTTCCTATTCTGGGGCTGAGGAGATAGCTCATGGTAGAGTACTTTCCTAGCATGTGCAAGGCCCTGGGTTCAATCCCAGCACTGTAAAAGGAAACAAACAAGCAAACAAAATTCCTGCCATTATGTAAGCAAAGGCAGTGGAGTTCCTTTCCCTTCCTCCTGAATCTGGAAAGGCATTGTGACTCACTTGACCAACAGAATGGCAAAGAAGTGGTGCTGTGGGACGTCTGAGTGCTACCTATAAGAACTCCAGTGGTTCCTCCTTTCTCCATCTAGGAAGCCAGCTGCCGTCCCAAGCTATAAGAATATAGGCTAGCCCGATGCCAGTGGCTCATGCCTGTAATCTAGCTACTCGGGAGGCAGAGATCAGGAGGATACTGGTTCAAAGCCAGCCTGAGCAAATAGTTCGTGAGAATCTATCTCGAAAAATACCCAACACAAAATAGGACTGGTGGAGTGGCCCTGAGTTCAAACCCCAGGTTGAAAAAAAAAAAAAGTGCAGGCTAGGTTACTGAATGGAGAAAGGCTGTAAGGCTGTAAGGCAAAAGACCTGGGAAGAAAGAGCCCATTTGGAATGTTCCAGCCTCCCAGCTGAAAGCAATCACATGAGCCACCTCAGCCTACACCAGCTGAATCTTTCAACCCCAGTGTCATAATAAATAATCATTGTTTGACGCCACTAAAGCCTTGGGTGTTTTTTATACAGCAAGAAATAGCTGGAATACAAGCTAAGGACATGTGTCTCTAGCATACCTTATCAGTGTTTTCCAAAGGGGCTGCTCCTACCACCCCAATAATGGGTGCCTCTGAGGTTGGAGGGGGGCTATGTTCTTGTCTGTCTTCATGGCATGGAAGTAGAACTTAGGAAGGTGGTAGGAATCAGAGCAGCTGCTATCCCTTGAAGTCTGCGGGCTTCCCTCTTGGCTCCTTTCTATGGACAGGATTTCTCACTTGTGGATGTGTGGATGAGCTACTCCTCACCATTCACTTTGTCTTCATCAGTGTAAATAACCAGAATCTCTTGGTTCATCCCAACTGCATGACCCTGGGAAAGAATTCAACTGGCCCAGCTTGGGATAAGGCCAATAAAATGGAGCCAAGTGGTATCACAGTAAGGTACAAGGGCTGTGGTGTCAATGAAGGGTGGTCTCAGGGAATAGGCATTGTGAATTGAGTCCATGCCCTAAGAGATCTCTGCCACAAATGTGTCCCTGACCCACCCACCTTAGGATCCTCCCTAGTCCTGCAGAACAGCATCTGAGCAAATTCTCCTTGAATCTAAGGGTGTAAGTTTTATAGGTGTCCAAGGAACCTCCCCTGTCTGGCTCCAGAGGGATCCTTACAGTTTCCGTGTCTTCCCATGTGGATCTCTCAGTATGGTCAAGTTTGACCAAGTACGCCTGGCTTCTATGCACCAAGGTGGGCTCCAGGGTGCCATGAGACAGACACCTCCCCACTCCAGTTCCCCACAATGACAGCCTGTGCCAGAAAAGCACAGCGGAGTCTTCATGTGTTTTTTTGTCTACTAGTGAGGCTGGACCACATGGACAGCTAGGGGAAGTTGAGCTGTCCCCTGGGTGAAGGTCTGTGGATATGGCCACACATAGCTGCCCTAGGGAGGCAGAGGGAATCAGGCTGCTGTGCTGGAGGCACTGCATGGCTGGAAGCCCCAGGAGAGCTTTGGGGAGGAAGCCTACCAAGCAAAGCATGATCCACGCCCACAGATCTTTGTAGACTGAGCCACTTTGCAGAACCATTGCTGAAGACTCAGTTACGTTGCCAGCCCTGGGCAGCCAATCCATAGCCTGATGAACCAGCACTCATCACATGGCCCAGCATGAAAACGCTGTATTCTCAGGAGTTGGAAATGGCAAATACAAATGAGGAAGACAGGTATCCATGAGAGTATCAGGAGGGTGCCTGCATGATTCAATGTGAGAATGTGGCAAATCAAAGCAAGGAGGGAGCTGTCCCAGGCAAAGGAAGATCTTTCCAAAAGCAGAAGCCATGATGCACAAGGGCCGACTAGGAGTCCTAAGAGCTGTGAAAGGCCAGGAAGTTGCCAATTAGGGTAGAGAAGATCTACATGGTAGAATAGGCAGTCTGATACGTGAGAGGAGAGTGGCCACACAGCAGAGCACGAGAGGTCCCAGGGTCAGAGTACCATCAGCTGTCATGAAGGGCTATCCAAGTCTACTCAAAGGCAGGGGAACAGGTGCAAAGAAAGGAAGACTGAAATCTCAAGATGAGACGGCTATGCTCCATCAACATGTGTTTTATTTCTGTTTTTCTCATTGGCTCCCTCATGGGCATCAACCCATCCTGACCCCTGTTCAGGGCAGCGGTTGCCAAGATGAGCAATTATTCCAATGGAGGAAGAGGAGGAGCAGGGAATGGAGCACTAGGTATGGCTTATGGGGATCTCATGGGGGGTCACTGTGGACAGTGTCCACAGAGGGGCTGATCAAGCCCTCTGATTCAGGCTTGAGGGGGTTCAGGTACTCGCTCAGATATTCGTAGGACTCCTTATCCTTTTCCTCAACCTCGTCCTCATCCTCGTCCTCAACCTCATCCTCATCCTCATCCTCAACCTCAACCTCAACCTCAACCTCATCCTCAACCTCCTCCTCCTCCTCCTCCTCCTCATCCTCTTCCTCTTCCTCTTCACTACCTTCACCATCCTCAATGTTCACCATTTCCTTAGATTTGTGGGAACTGGAGCCCATGTTGATGATGGAGAACACAGAGAGCTTAGGCTCTGGTAAATTTGTGGGTATCTGCTCCTCAACTGTAGTGGATTCCTGAGGGCTGGGCAGCGGGTGGATTGGCGACTCGGTGTAGAGGGATTGGTGGGACTCAGTGGTCTGGTCTTGATTGCTGTCAGTGGCTAGCTCAAGCTGTGTGGAGGGGGACTCTGTGTTTTGCCCAGAGGCATCCCCCTGGGCAGTGGCTGCTGTTTGGGAGGTCTGCTTTGAGACCGGCCGTTCCAACTCGGCCTTCTCCAGCTTCTCCAGCAGGCAGCTCCAGTCAATATTTGAAGATAGGCAGATATGGGAACCCTTCACCTTCTTGAAGCCCAAGATGATATCCATGAGCGTCTCAGTGACAGGAAAGGAGATAAAGCCAAGCTGCTTGTTGAGGCCGTCCTCGAACTTGTGCTTGCATAGGAGCAGGGAGACTGCTCGCTCGATCAAGAAGTTGATGAGCTCTTCATACCAGGGGTTGGAGACGTGGGACATGCTGGACTTGGATAAGATTGAGGGCAGCGGCTTCTTCTTTGTGAACCTGTTGTTGGAGCTCTGCACAGCAGTCAGGGAGGGAAAAGGAGACACGTCACCCCTCATTGGTCTTGTTCCTCCTGCTGCCCCGTGACACATATCCACTACACCCTCCTTTGCATCACAACCCTCCTCCCCATAGCCCTGCTCATTATACACACACAAACCATATTTGTCACACTAAGGGACTAAGGGTGCAGTTCTACCTCATCTGGCACTCAATAACCAACCCTCATGCTCACTTCATCTGCCTTGCCTATCAGATCTGGGGCAAGGTCATAGTGTCTGCAGACTTGAACCTTTACAAACTGGCTCCTGCAAGCTCATGCCTAGGCCTGTGTTCTGAGGAAAGCATGCCTGGACCTTGATGAGGGCAGGGTTGGGGGACTGCTAGGATCCCACCAGGATGAAGACATCTATGTCTTCTACCCTTCTTGGACAATGTTCCATCAGCAGGGCAGAAAGACCAGACAGACCTGCAGCTGGATTAGAGGGAGCTAGATCCAAGCTAGGATGCAGGTCCCACTCTAGGCAAAAACTGCTGTCCACAAGGGAAAGGAAACTCCCCATGTGGGAGGGCCTCCAAGATTCACGTTCAAATGTTAAAAAAAAAAAAATACCCAGGATAAAAATGAACCTTTATTCATCTTTGATAACACTTGGTAGTAGCTAGGCCAGGATTCCTGGTCCCCCAGCAGCTTGTACCCTACCAGGAGGTTTCCACAGTGCAGGGTAAGAGATCTGGACCTTAGGCAGCTGCCAGTAATGGTGGCTGCTAAGAATGGTGAGGGGGCCCTTCCCCTGCAAATTTTTCCCCAAGATCCCTAACCCTGCTCTTGAGGAGGTCATCTCTGAACACAATGAAGCGGGAAAAGGGGAAATGCTCCTTACCAAGAAGAGGAGCAGGGAGAACATGGAGAGAAAGGAGGAGGAGGGTGGGGGGAGGCAAGTGGGCGTGGGACTGGGCCCCTCAGGCAGCACTGGCTGGAGGCCAACTCTACCGTGATCCCAGGGGCCGGCAGGGTGAGATGGAGGCCATGCCAGGGCTGGGCCCTCTGGCTGGAGCTCAAAGCTACAGGTGGATTCTGTAATTTGGGATCTGAGTCAGGTGCCTCCTGTGTGGGGTGGAATGAGGGCTTGGGGACATTGAACTCTTCTGTGGGTATCACCTTCAGCCTGAATCTGGTGGCCATCTGGGCATTAGACATGGTGGGGGAGCCCCGTCTGCTCTTGTTTTTCCTCCAAAACATCTTAGGGCTGGAGGCTGTGGTGGGAAGGGAATTGTAGGGTTCCTCCCCTTCTTTGGGTGTGACCAGCTTAGAATCTGGCTGCCGCAGATGGTTAACTGGTACATTGGGTTCGGTGGCAGGGAAGAGAGGGCAGCCATCATGGCGGCGGGCACCACTGAGCTTGTCCACAGCCTGGCTGACCACGTTGTGCAAGGCAGGGAAGAGGTGATGCTTGGCCAGGAAGTCCAGTGTGTGATAGGGTTCACGGAGCGAGCAGTAGCCAGGCAGGTCGAAGGATGCTGGCTGGCTGAGCAATGACTTCATCTCCCTGTTGAACTCTCGTTTGAGGAACATCAGCTCCCGCTCTCCAGGTCCCAGCTCTGATGCTGAAGGGGTGCCTGGGCAGGAGCCCAGCAGCCCTGAGAACCAGGACAAGGGCTGCTCCTGAGTCCATTGGCTACTGGTCTGGCTGTCTAGGGAGTCCCATAGCAGGGAGTTCCTCTGAGAGTTGGGTTGAGTCAGGACTCTCTGCAGAGAGAGGGAGATCCTGAGAAGTGTCCAGGAGTAGCCAAGCCAGGCTTGATCCCGACCTAAGCTTAGATCCACCCTCCACTAGCCCCAGCCATGGCCCCAGATCTCACCCCTTTGTTCTCCAGCCGCTGCAGCCGCTTGAGGCTTTTCTCCAGCAGGAGTGTGTCCTTCATGGGTGGCAGTGAGCCCAAGCCTTGGGCACCCAGCTCACTATCTCGGTTGTGGGAACCCAGACAGCCAACCTTGAGGCTGCTATGGGAGTCAGACATGGAACTGGAGCAGGATGGGTAATTGTTGGGATCTCCAGTGCAGAGGGTGGGTCGAGCACGGTGCCGATGCACAGTGTTGAAGCTGGGTCGGGGCCTCACCCGCCGAGCACCACTCGGCACCTCCACAGGGTCCTTCACCTCCACCAGTGGCACCCCAGCATCTGTCTTCATAGCAGCCAAGCGCTCTGTTGCCTCCTCTACCACTGACTGCAGGCTGTCCAGCACCTGACCCTGAGTCAGGAAATCCAGGAAGCTGCCAAAGGCCTGAGGGCACTTAGGGTCGGGTCGGTGGCCCTGGTGCGCTGAACTGTCACTCATTGTTGGGGGATATGGCACACGACTCAGCTTGGAAGCTGGCCCCATTTCTGGCAACAGTGGCTTCTTGGGCTGCACCTGGGCAGACAGACTAGTCATACAAAGCAGGATGCACTGCAGGGGAGAGGCCCCTGAGGTCCTCCGAGGGTGCCACTAGGAGCTGGGGTGGGGATTGAGCACCAGCTCTGAAAAGAATCACTTTATTATTTTTTTTTCTTTCAGTAGTGATGGGGATGGAATTCAGAGTCTTGAGCATGCTAAACAAGTATTGTACCCCTGAGCACCCTGAAATTGCACTTTAGAGTCAGTAAATCCTGGGTTTGGACCTTTGGCTCTGCTACCTTCAGGGTGCATGAAGGTACCCACAATGGCCCCTCTTGAGGTCCAATTTCCTCATGTGCAAAGTGAAAATCTCTTTAGGATTGCCCTGCAGTATATCCAACACCTACATTTAACATTACCTGTCTGTGGAGTCTGAAAGCCTGGACTCACACCATTCCTAAACCGACAATCATAAAAGCCCTCTCGCCTCTTCCTGTTCCTCGTCAGTCTATAGAGCCAGCCAGCTCTGATTCCATTGCTGTGCAGGGGCGAGCTCTTGAGCTCCTGAGCCCTGCACTACCCATGGCTGCTTCTCCAACTTGATGACTTCTCCAACTGGATGATTTCATGCTCCCACTCTGGGTTCCTAGCCCACACAAGTCCCTCCCAGGTGGCTAGAGTCAGGAAGAAATGGGGAATGAAAGTGAGGGTGGATCAGAGCCCAGGAGGCAGTCACAGGCGAGGTCAAGGCTATAATAAGGACTTCCCAGGGAGAAGAGCAATAGGAAATGAGAAGTGGTGGTCTGGGGCGCTGTGTAGGGGCCCTGCCGAGGACATTTACTTACCCGTACCACATACGTGCTGTGGCCAGCCTCGTCATCGGCCAGGTATCCCGAGTGGTGACGGCAGCTGGCCATGATGCGGGTAGCCAAGTCTTCCCTGCCTCTTCTCTTAGGTTCCGCAGCACAGCCGAGGACTCCTCTCTGAGCAGGACAGGGAGACGGCGTGAGGGTCAGTTCACTCCTTCATGGGTTCTAGTCTCTATCTGTCCATCCCCTGCTGCCAGTGGCCCTGCAGTCTTTGGGTCCCTCGCTCCTCGCACCCTGTGTCCTGTACTTATCTGGGGCCCCTCATTTCCTCTTAGCCTTTCACGCATCTGCGAACCGTCCCATTCCTGAGTTGGGGTGGGGGACTACGAGGATGTCCACATCCTGTCTGAGACCGTCTCTGCGTCTGGGTGTGTATCCAGCCCTCTCTCCTCCCAGTCCGGAGTCGCTTGTCATTCCGACCCGCTCACCAGAGTCCCGGCCGTGCTCTGCGCGAGCTCGCGCGGGTCGTCGAGGACTGGAGAAGCCACCGGGCTCTAGAATTGTGCAGCCGCCCCACCCCGACCTGCTCATTAACATACTGTATCCTGATTGGCTAACAATGGACCTTTCGCCCACTAGCTTGCCCGACACAATGGTTTGAGGCGGGGCCCGCGCTGGCTCCTCCCCCACCACGCCAGCCCATGTGGGGCTCACATCTTTGCTGATCCCGCTTTGTCCCAATAGAAAGAGTTCTAAGGCTGGGGCTCGGATCTGTGATCCTTAGGGCAAAAGTCACGGCCTCCATCAGTGACAAAACCAGTGACCCTCCTCGGTCCCTTCCTGGTCGTGGCACAGCTTTGGACCTCCTGCCCTGACTGCTTTCTTTCCCGGGGCCTCCTCCTCTCGCTCAGTGTGGAGGTCCCCAGCATCCATCTTAAGATCTCTTCCTTATCTCTTCCTTCTACAGCCTTCCTACAAAGAGTCCTGTCTCTCCGTCATAGACCTCGGTTCAATTCCTGGCTCTGCTGTTTCTTGCTGATGTGACTCAGCCTGAGCAAGGACTCATCTGTAGGTGGGGCTGATCGACTTTCCATGTGGAGTATGGGTATTACATAAAATCTTCATACAATACTCTAAGAGAAGCCCCATATAACCTTACCTCTTCTCCCTCCTTTCCCTTTCAGCCCAGACAGCTTGTCACCCCTCAACAGATTCACAAAGCAAACCCATCTCAGACTCTGCCACATCACGTTGTTAGTCTATCAGATGGTGTTCCTTTGGGGTAGGGACTAAGACAATCACTCCTAATTTCAAATACTTCCACTCACTGGCACCCAGAAAATGCTTAATGTCAGTTTCCTCTGTAGTCTGCAGATGCTCAGGGTTTCAGGGACTTTGGCCTTTCCATGATCAGCTTCCAGAGAATAGTGGTTGGTTGAGGTCTGAGGATTCAACAATCTCTATGATTGAACAAAACAGTCTTTATTTTATGAGCCTGATTGAAGAGCTCTTTGAGGACTCCAATGCTTACAAGGCTCCATGAGGTATCTGTCATATTCAGACCCTTTTCTGTCCCCAACCTAGGGTGAGGGAGACAGACAAGGCCAAGAGGACCAGAGCTGCAGGAACCAATACTAGCTCCACTACTCTGGGCAGGATCACACTTCCCTTCTTGAACCTTGTTTTCTTTTTTTTTGTGGTACTGGAGTTTGAACCCAAGGTCTACACCTTGAGCCACTCCACCAGCCCTTTTTTATGGTGGGTTTTTTTGAGGTAGGGTCTCCTGAACTGTTTGCCCAGGCTGGCTTCCAACAGACATATTCCTGATCTCTGCCTCCTGAGATTACAGGCATGAGCCAGTAGCTCCCTTTCTTTTGTTTGTTTGTTTGTTTGTTTGTTTTTGGCAGTGCCAATGGGGTTTGAATTTAGGGCCTCACACTTGTTAGACAGGCACTTTTACCACTTGACCCATTCTGCCAGTCCTTTTTTTTTTTTGTCATGGGTTTTGTCGAACTATTTGCCAGGGGAAGGGGAGGACTTTGTTTTCTTATCTGTAAAAACAGTAATGTCATTACCAATCTCATAGATCAGACCCAGGTACCACACTTCCACAAAGAAAATCAAGATAGCCACATTACAATGGAAACTCTGGCTGTCACCATGGTGACTGTTGGCTAAGTCATGGATAAAGAAAGTTTTTCTGGACAAAGGGCAAAAAAGTGAGGTTATGAATGTAAAAGTTATTTTTCCCGGAACTGGAGATGGAAACGGGCTAATGCTTTCTCAAATAAAGATATTGGTATGTGGTCATTTTCTTGTTTAGAACTTTGACTAAGAAAAACCATTCTCTTAGAAAAATCAGCAAAGGACAATAGGCAGTTTGAAAAAGAGAAGTAAAAATAGCTAATAAAATGAAAAAAACCTCATAGACATTGCTATAAAAATAAACATTACAAGAAAGACACAACTTGACACAAGCATCTTTAGTTAGTGGAGAAGAGGAATTGCATGTGTTCATTTTCTTAGAGAAAATATTAAAAAGCTAGAAAGTTAACAGTGAGAGGGCCCTGTAATACCAACTACGGTGCAGGCAGACAGTGATTGGGAGGATTGAGGTTCGTGGCTAGCCTAGGCAAGCTAGTGAGACCCGATCTTAACAAGACAGCATGGTGGTGCACAACTATAATCCTAGCTAAGCAGGTCGGCCTGGGCAAAATCAAGACCCTACTTGAAAAATAACTAAAAAGCAAAAAGGACTGGGGGCTAGCAATTGGGAGGCCCTAAAAGGAAAGTTAAGAGAGTTTTTCTTCAAATTTTTTTCTTTCCTCCCTTTTTTGGGGGCGGTTGAAAAATACATCACTTTTCAAATCTCATCTCAGTCAAGCAAAATTCTGCTTTGTAATAATACATGGAGCCGGGACTGGGTAGGGCGGAGCAGTCGGCAGAGAGTTGCAGGGCCACTCAGGGACCACTAGGTGGCGAGAACAAAGACGGACTCCAGCCGCTTCTGGGCGTGTGCGTCTGGACCGGGCTCCGGCAGCGCTCAAGGGCGGGATCTGGACTGTCCAGGCCACTTTCCTCAGGTCGCTAGTGGGTTCTGGGCGGCCATGGCCCGCCCGCGCGTGCTGCTGGTAGTCACGGCGGATGACTTTGGTTACTGCCCGCGACGCGATGAGGGAATCGTGGAGGCCTTCCTGGCAGGGACTGTGACCAGCGTCTCCCTACTGGTCAACGGCATGGCCGCAGAGAGTGCGGCGGAGCTGGCCCGCAGGTGAGGGCGACCCCCTGCAGGTTCGGGAGGGTTGGGGGTGCTCCCGCCCCGCAGCGGCCTGTGCTCCCGCTCGCGCTCCGCCCACAGGCACAGAATCCCCACGGGTCTCCACGCCAACCTGTCCGAGGGCCGCCCCGTAGGCCCGGCCCGCCACGGCGGCTCCTCGCTACTCAGCCCCGGAGGCTTCTTCCTCGGCAAGACGGGATTCCGGGAGGCCGTAGCAGCCGGAGACGTGGCTTTGCCCCAGGTGCGGAAGCGCTGCTGCGGGAGAACGCTCACGATGACCCCCAAAACTGAGCCCGGAGGTCACCTTGAAGTCGAAGTGGTTAGGGGCAAGGACGGGTGCTGGATACTTCCCACGGTCACATGCTGCTGGAGCAGTGACAGCGGTGGCACAAAAGAGGATGCTCTGTAGCTGCTGCTGGGATCTCAGGGTGTCTGGCTCTCCCTCCAGGTGCGGGAGGAGCTAGAGGCCCAACTTAGCCGCTTTCGGGAGTTGCTGGGCGGGGCTCCCACGCACGTGGACGGGCACCAGCACGTGCACGTGCTCCCAGGTGAGTGAACTGAAGCTCCCACGGATGTCGCTAGGCCGATGCTGCTAGTGAGGCCACTTGCTCCCCCCCTGAGGCCCGTTCTCCTGCAGGCGTGTGCCAGGTGTTCGCCGAGGCGCTGCAGGCTCACGGGGTGCGCTTCACTCGGCTGCCGCTGGAGCACGGCGTGGGCGGCTGCGCGTGGTTGGAAGCCCCAGCGCGCGCGTTCGCCTGCACAGTGGAGCGCGATGCACGAGCCGCCGTGGGCCCCTTCTCCCGTCACGGGCTGCGGTGAGCACCTCTTCCCACTCCTGTTCTCCCTTCCCCCCATGGGTCCCTGCTCACCTGGCCGGTCATGTCCCTTCCTCTATCTAGAAAAGGGTCAGGCGTGGACTGGCCCTCATTTCACTTCCATCCCTCCTTATGCCTACCCTTGCGAGTCCTCCCGCTTGCCGCTGATGCCCTGGCACTCACAGGTGGACGGACGCCTTCGTGGGCCTGAGCACTTGCGGCCGACACATGTCTGCTCACCGCGTGTTGGGGGCACTGGCGCTGGCCCTGGAGAATATTCCCGCGAGCCACGCCCTGACAGCCGAGCTAATGGCACACCCGGGTTACCCCAGTGTGCCTCCAACTGGGGGTTGTGGTGAAGGCCCGGATGCTTTCTCCTGCTCTTGGGAGCGGCTGCATGAGCTGCATGTCCTTAAGGCGCCCACCCTGCGGGCCCAGCTTGCCCAGGACGGCGTGCAGCTCTGTGCCCTGGACGACCTGCAAGAATGGGGCGGGGAGAGAAGCGGGAGGGACTCCCCTGTGAGGCAGCACTTCCTGGGGCACTCTCCACCCTGACAAGTAGTAACACTTAGTGTGGAGAAAGGGGACCAGAATTAAGTTCTTGCAGAGTCTGGAACTAGACCCTAGAGCAGGGTCTGTGACGACCCAGGGTGAGACACTGCCAGTCTGTGCCCAGCTGTGTCTTCATGGCTCAGAGTGGTAGCTGGAACTTGGGCAGCTCCTTTTGGCTGTAGCTGAGCATGTGGTGTTAATTCTTATAGCAATGTAGCATTTGGTGCGAATTCATGTTCAATGTAAACACCTGATTGCTTAGGGGAAGTACCAAGAGATTGGTGTTAATAAAGTAATGTGTTTTTTTTTCAGACTTGGGTGGTTTATAAACAGTACCTAGGAAACCTTCACAAAAACAAGAATGGACAAAGAACAACTCCTTTTTGGCTCAGAGAAGTCAATGTTGCAAAAAAGATATGCAAAAGCATTCCACATTCTGGTTTTGTTCATGCTTGGGTGCTTTGGGTTGGTTTGTTTTTTGACATGGGGTCTCACTATGTTACCCAGGGTGGCCTCGAATTCCTGGACTCAAGGGATCCTCTCACATCAGTCTCCTGAATAGCTGGGACAGCCACACACCACTACATCTGGCAATGTTTAAGTTTTTCTTTACTCATTTCTTGGGGTGGAATTGGGAGAAGATTGTCTCAATAGGCTGTTTTGGGGGGAATAAAATAATATCAGTTTTGATTTAAAAACAAGCAAACCACTCTAGGGGACAGATCTGAGGAGGTCCTGCAAGCTCATAGGAGTGTGCTTAAAGTTTTCCAGGAGGGGTAGTCTTCTGTAGAAGTGGGAACCTGGGTGGGGCACAGGTGGCTCATGCCTGTAATCCTAGCTACTTGGGAGGCAAAGATTAGGAGGATCAAGATTCGAGGTCAGCCTAGGCAAATAGTTTGAGAGACCCTATCTCAAAAATACTCAACACAAAACAGGGCTGGCGGAGTGGCCTTCCTGAGTTCAAGCCCCTGTACCATCCAAAAAAAAAAAAAAACCTGGATTCCTAACTGGACCTGGTGATGTATATGGATATCCTGTGGGCACGCCCCATGTCCCTGAGATGCAGGGAGCAGAAGTGGTGGTGGGGAGTTCTGAGTGACACAGTGATCCTGCCCCACTCTGAAGGGTGAAAGGCAGAGGAGCAGATGGACACCACATGACCCTTCTTTCTCATGTAATTTCTTATAACCCCATTTTACAGAGCAAGACCTTGAGCCTGGTCATTATTTTATTAGAAATGCTCTGGGGCCCTGGCCTATGTCAATCATGGGGTCAGGTGCCAAGAGAGCTCCTACTTGGTCTAGGCAGCCTAGAACGAGTGGGATCTTGCTCCTTCCTGGCTCTTATCTCCTGACTGTGACTTCAGCTTTCTCTTATAGCTCCATGCTTATTTTCCCTCTTAACCTTCCCTTTGACCTTGATTCTGGCAGCCATAGCACCTTTCCTAGTTCCTTTCTTTCATACCTTGTTAACAGAAATTGTTTGGACCCCACTGTTGTCTAGCCTTCACCTCCTCTCATTGGCCTTTGAGGTCTGGTCACACTCCTGCATGCTCCTTGCTGGGGCTGGCAGGAGTGGCCCAAGGGCAGCCTGTTGCCACAGAGGTGGCTCCCACAAGAGGGGTTCTGCTATGGAGTGCTCAGAGGAGGCAGCTGTGTGGCTCTGAGACTAGTGAGAGAGGTATGGGTAGGCAGGAGACAGACTCAGGGGTTCTGCACAGATGCTAGAGGACACTGTGGGAATGGCTACTGTCATCCAGGGAAGGAAGGATGAACAGATGGAGGCTGAGAACAATCCTTGGAACCTTGAGCATTTAGGAGAGAGATTGGTAAGACAAGGAGACTGGGGCCCACCTCACCAGGAGAGGGAAAGTACTAAGGATCTGGTGTGGGGATGAGATGCCAGGTGTTACTTCTTACACCAAGCTCACTGCACAGTGACTTAGGCAAGTGATTTACTGTTTACCTGTTCATTCAGTGGTCACACATGGAGGGTATGCTCTGTGCTGAAACATAGCCTGACTAAACTACAGCCAGTGTGATGTGGGCCAAACTGAGGGGAAAAGGAACCCACAGCAATGTGTATGTGCTGGGGGGGTGGAGGGGGGAGGCGGCAAAGGGAGGTTCCTAACCCTGGCAGTGAGAGTTGGAAAGGTCTCCAGGAGATAGCTTCCTTTCCCTTGGTTATGGCTTCTGCGAGGTGTTGTAAGTCTGGTCTTCTGGGCTGTCACGTACTCCAGAAACATTGAGAAAGAACTCATTCTGTTACCCAGAAAAACAGCCATGCACCACACTGTACAGCATCTGAGAAAAGGGCCAGAGCAAGGGTGTAAAAACCAAAGCCAGCTCTGGGTTCCCCTTTGACTGGGTTGGACAGCATATGCTGGCAGAAGTGCTGCCAAATGAAAGTTAGGAGGAGGGTTCAGGAATTACCTATTTGGCAATGAGAAAATCATGAATACTTGGTCATAGGAGCCTCGACGGCAGGATGCAGTAGGCACAGGAGTCATGAACTAGATGCTTATTTCAAGCTAAACAATTAATAGTGGGGAAAAAATAGCCAGGAGTGATGGTGCAAAAATAGCCAGGAGTGATGGTGCATACTTATAATTCCAGCATTTAGGAGGCTGAGGCAGGAAGATTACAAATTCAAGGCCAGCCTGAACTACATGGCGTGACCATCTCAAAAGAAAAAAAAAAAAAATCCAAACCAGGCACCAATGGCTCATGCCTGCAATCCTAGCTACTTGGGAGGCTGAAATCTGGAGGATCATGGTTTGAGGCCAGCCTGGGCAAACAGTACTCAAGACTCCATCTCCAAAAATAACCAAAGCAAAATGGATTGGATGTGTGGCTCAAGCAGTAGAGTACCTGCATTGCAAATATGGAGCCCTGAGTTAAATCCCTCACAAAACAACCAACCCCCCCCTTCAAAAAAAAAATCCACGCTGGGATGTGGCACAAGTGAGAGGCCCTGAGTTCAAACCCACTACCACACACACACACACACAAACAAAAAAAACTCTAAGACAAAGCAAACAAAACAAAAAATACTGGAGTGGGGAAGGCCAGCAAATGGTGGCTTCAAAGGACAGGAAGTTGGAGAGTCTTCCACGCCTCTGACTTTTGGGAGTGGGAAACTGGCTATGTTTGGGCACAGAGACCGTTTGAGAGGCACTGTGCTGATCAGTGGAATCTAGTTGTCTTTTTTCCCCTCCTGTCCTAGCTACTCAGGAGGCAGAGTTCAGGAGGAGAACTATTTGAAGCCTGTCCAAAATAGTTCAAGAGATCCTATCTTGAAAATATCCACACAAAAAGGGCTGGCGGGAGCTAGTGGAGCAGTTTGAGTGCTAGAGTGCCTGACTAGCAAGCGCAAGGCCCTTAGTTCGAGCCCCAGTATTCCCCCCGCCCCGCCCGCCTCCAGAAAAGAGTTGTAAGCTGGTAGAGTAGCTCAAGCCCCAGTACTAAAAAAAAAAATTTTGGAGGGGGAGCACTTTCCCTGTTTTTTTAAAAACTTAAAAACTGTTACAAAATAGACTTCAGAAAACAAGTTACAAACCATAGCAAAAGGCTCCCCCTTCCACAGGCAGCTTTCCCACCTGTACTGGAACCTGTTCTTCAGTGTAAGAACACTGCCAGTAGCTGGGCGCTGGTGGCTCCCGCCTGTAACCCTAGCTGCTCAGGAGGCAGAGATCAGGAGGATCAAGGTTTGAAGCCAGCCCAGGCAAATATTTTGTGAGACTCTATCTCAAAAAATTTCATCACAAAAATAGGGCTGGTGGAGTGGTTCAAGGTGTAGGCCCTGAGTTAAAAAACAAACAAACAAACAAAAAAACAAAGAAAACCTGCCAGTGCCAGTGACCATCACCCAGAGCCCATTTCTTCCCCAGAGCATCTAGGATAATGGTGCTCACAGGGGTATGTTGAAACAAAGAATGTGTAGAAGAGCAACCCAGCTATGATCAAAGGAAGCAACTCTCCTCTTGGTCCCTGGTAAAATGGCACCCCTGGAAGCTTCCCACCCTGATACCTGTAGACCCAACTGACAGTGCAGGGTTGGTCTCATCTGGTGTCCATTTCCAAATAGGGAACTGGTCCTGACCAAAATATATAATGAGCCTGGCTGGCTACAGTGCTGAGTCAACAATACTGCTGCAGTGCCTTGGCAGCCTGCTGTCATGGGGATACTCTGTAGTTTCCAGATGGAACCATTCAGAAGAACCATTTAGCCCCACATCCGGCACACACACCCTTTCTTCAGTTCCAACACCCTGATCAAGCCATGCTTCTCGGGACCTGTTTTTACCTCTGCTAAATCAAAGTGGTTCATAACATCACTCTTAGGGCTGAGGACTGAAGTGTCTCTGCAGCCTCAGTAGTCCAGACTCTCCAGCTTTCCCTACCTATCTGCTTCCCTCTGGGGAGGCAGGAACACCCATGTGGCATTTTTGGAGAGGCTAGGAAGAGGGAGAGATCAAAGGCCCCAGTCACCCCTCCCCAGTCTCAAAGGGCAATAGGCTCCCCAGGCACTGTCCTCCCCCCAAAAGAAAGAAACCCACACAACTAAGCCAGTGTCGGAGAGCATTTTTTATTAAGGACAGCAGAACGGGATCGCAGCATCTTAGAAAGCCTATTCTCCGCCATTGTGGAGGGGACAGGGCAAGGACCCAGGGCACTTCAAGGAACCAGGCGGATGTGAATTCCTGAGCCAGTGTGGGTCAGCAATGGATGGCTGCTCCACAGCTTACCTCTTCTCCAGAGGATCCAGCTTTTTGGTTTTGGAGCAGCCAGGCCTGGCTGCCAGCTTGCTTGTAAGCCAGCTTGCTGTAAGCCTGCCCCAGAGCAAGGCTGGAAGAAGCAAGCCACACAGGCCCAAGAAGGAAAACCTACTGACTTGAAAGCCAGGCCCTGGCTGCCAGGGCAGACCACAGGGTGCCAGTGCCAAGGCTGAGTCCCTGAGAGGGGCTGTCACCTGAGCGGTGAGTACCCTCCCGTGGTGAGCAGAGAACAGTGAGGGGCAGGCAGAGCTACACTGGCAGAAATACAAAGCAATGGGAGTTTCCAAGAATGGCAAGATTTCTGGATTCAGAGAAGCAACGAGAACAAATGGTGGATTGTTTGGATAGCTTCTGACAGATTTTGGCATTTTATTACAAATCTGA